AATATGGTATCTGGTCTCTTGTATATTCTGATGTATATTCTGATGTTCTGATGATACTTTAAAACTTACCAGGTTAATTTTTGGAGGGAATTGTTGAGGAATAAAATTTGGAATAAATGAAAGTTCTGTCAAATTTGGAAAAGATTAAACTTCAGATCTTATTTACTAGTAAGTGATTTTACCTTAAGAAAATGAAAAACATGATATTCAACATTGTACCTAACCCAAAATTATTTTTTTTTTATATTACAGGTAAATTTCACGATGAAACAAACGCAAATGTGGTCGTAATAGGCATCACAGTTGCTATAGTGATAGTTATCATGGGCGCTGGTGTGAATTTTGCGATCTGGAGAAAATACCATAGTGAGTACTACTGGATTATTACTGCAGCGTATCGTTAATATTAACAGCCGTGTAAAAATCTTTCAGCGATACCCCTCCCTCAGAGAGAGAGAGAGAGAGAGAGAGAGAGAGAGAGAGAGAGAGAGAGAGAGAATTGAATCTGTATTTAAGCATTGAATTCATATTTTGGCATGTCTTCGGTCCTATAAAACACCTGGCCGTGCCGACAAATTGAATACCGCGCGGTATGATAATTTGTCGGTACGGCCAGGTGTGTTATGATTTAAACAATATTTATTCAGTAAACTGAATAGATTGGGCAACAGGCTTAAGCCTATAAATACCCTCTCTATATAACAGGTCATGGTAACAATACAATGAACAGAGTAAATAATTACAATTCATATTATGATATGAGTGCTCACATACGCATTCTAACATACTCACACACACACCCTCACTCACACACGCAGCCACACCCTGACTCGCACAGATCCAGATCAAAATAAGTATAATAAATATAAACATGTATAAAGTGACAAGAGTACATATCAAAAAAGAAATTATGATTAAAAACGTTTTGTTAACTTGATATATTCATGTACATTTTTTATAATATTGAGGTTCGTTTGGAACGAATACTCCGAACTCCCTTGTAAAAGAATTTTTAGATCAAAAGGTACATCAAGCTCATTTAAGTTTTTTCTTACTTTATTTCTTTGAATATTATATGCTGGACAATCCATAAAAAAGTGTTCATTATCTTCTGTATGGTAATTACACTTCGGACAAGATGCATCGTCTATTATATAATGATTTTTTAGGTGTGCATTAAGATTACTAGCTTTGTTACGTAGTTGACAGTGAAGTATATTCTCGTTTCTGCTTCCATAGTTGAAGTATTTACAACTGCTAAAAGGTTGGTTTAATTTTGACTTGAAAATCGATAAAGAAGGAGACATTTTCACTTCAGAACTAAGATTATTCCACAGTTTTATAGTTGAAGGAATAAAACTTTCATAGTATGATACAGTTCTACATAATGGTAAAGTAAGATTATTACCATCTGATCTCAAACTATAAGAGTGTTGCACTGGTTGGAAGGGCTGTATTAATTCGTTAAGATAATTAGGAGCAATACCATGGAACATTTTATAAAATAATATTAGTTTATGGTTTGTTCTTCTCTGACATAATGGCTCCCAGCCGAGTTCGTCATATAGATTAGATCTTGAGGAATTTACTCTAAGACCAGTAATAATTCTTGCGGCTTCTACTTGGACCTTTTCTAACAATTCTGCATTTTCTTGTGAGCAATTATCCCATACTACATCGGCGTATTCAAGGACCGGTCTAATAAACGCTAGATATATTTTAATTAAAGAATTTCTATCTAATATGTACTTTAAAAGTCTTAAAATATTTAATCTCTTACAAGCCTTTTCGTAAATAGCAGAAACATGATTATTCCAGCTAGCATCAGATTGGAATAGGAGTCCTAGATGTGTATGACTATTAGATTGTTCAATAATTTTTCCGTTTTCACCAAAATGAATGTCTGGGAAAAGTCGTTGCTTTCTTGTAAAATTAACATTTTTTGTTTTATCAGCATTGAAGTCTACTGCCCAAGAGTTTGACCATTTCTTTATTTTATCAAGATCGGTTGTAAGAGATGATGTAGGAGTATTAATATCAGTGTCCACTATTGCAAACAATGATGTATCATCCGCGAATAGTCTAATTTCATTATGTATGCCTTCAGTAATGTCATTAATGTATAATAAGAATAAAAATGGGCCTAGCACGGACCCTTGGGGTACTCCCGCATCAACAGTTTTAAAGGTTGAGGAAAAACCTTCTACATTTACTTTTTGTTGTCTGTCAGTAAGGTAATCTTTAATCCATCCCAAAATATTATCTTTAAAGCCTAAGTTTTTAAGTTTAAAAATAAGTCCTTTGTGCCAGACCCTGTCAAAGGCCTTTGAAATATCACAGAATATAAATCTTAAGTCTCGGCCTTTGTCAAGATTTGACATAATTTTATCATATATTTCCACTAGTTGATTTATTGTAGAGTCCCCTGGTTGGAACCCAGATTGATTTTTTGATATCAATTCGTAGTCTTTTATATAATTGTACATATATTTGAAAAGTATTTTCTCCATAACTTTACAGACAGAACTTGTAAGAGATATGGGCCTATAATTATTAGCATTGTCGGGGCTTCCTTTATTTTTAAAGATTGGGGAAACATGTGCTTGTTTCCATAAATAAGGTAGACATTTCTTAGTGAGTGACATGTTGAAAAGTTTTGTTATTGGTTTATAAATAGAGAACCGTGTTTCTTTTAGGATTCTTGGAGATAACCCGTCTGGTCCAGGTGGTTTAGAGGTATCTAAGATTGATAATTGATCAAGAACGTCCTGCTCAGTAATTTCAAAATCATCAAAGCAATTAATTGGAGGACCTGGTCCATGTTCAGGGAGATCAGGCTCAGTGTTTATGTGTGAAATATTTACAAAATAGTTATTAAATTCTTCTGCTTTATCAATTGGATGAACAAATATCCTACCATCTCTAGATTTCAGAGGAGGAGGGGAAGTATTTTGTTTTTTAAATCTTGAGACAGATTTAGCAATTCGCCACCATTTACCTGGAGGAATAGTCTTATCGATAAGTTGAGAGGCCAGTTTCACTTTATAATCATTTCGAGCTTTTCGTACTAATTTGACTACCTCATTACGAATTTCTCTAAATTGCCAGGTGTGTTATAGGACCAAAGACATCCCAAAATATGAATTCAATGCTTGTAATATTTACATTCTTCTAATTTTTCCTCTTCATACTTGTTTATTTCGGTAATCTTTAATGTGAATTTAGCGCCCTTTAAAACTGGTGTGCTTTATAGACGTAAGAGCCGTTTGTGACGTTGCAAAGTTAAATAACGCAAACAAACATTGCGAGGAAAAAAGTGACAAATTAACTTAAACGCACATTTGTTGTATTTTTACGTTAATTTTTCAGTGTTATAGTTTTTCATTTAATTGAAATAAAACATTATACATTTTTGTGTCCCTAGAGTATTGAAAGTGCATATAGTTCCTACTGTGTATTCTAACGCGCGGTGACAAGGTTTCGCGTGAATTATAGAAATTTTAACGTCGTGAATTTCTAATGGATTTCATAAAGAAAATTACACTGAATGTAAATATTTTAAAATGATAATCATGGATTATGATGCCATTATTTAATTCTTTTAAAAAATGTTCTTATTAGAAGAACATAATAATACTAACGATTATTTTCATTTTTTTAGGTGTTCTAAATAGGTAAGTAAATTTGAGAAAACTTATGTTGAACACTTTTGCCTTTTCTTTTTGGCTATCGTATACTAGTATATAGAGAATTTTTGATTTAATAATTTACCCGGTAATTCATAGGCATTTAGTTCATACTGAAAGAAGACAGAGTCAGTTAGAGGAAGCACAAAGACAAGGTAATGTATTGTAACTATTATTCTGAATATTTCAACGAACCACGCAGATCGAATTTGCTATTTAGGAAAAAATTGTCCTTTAATTAAGGTCTTCCGTTTCCAACGGAAGACCTTATTGTTTTCGTTCGGTTTCTTTTTCCCTATTATTAAGTCTTCCGTTCACAACGGAAGACTTATAGTGTTTGTATTGTTTCTTTTTATTAAGGTCTTCCGTCTTCAGCGGAAGACCTTCTTGTTATTCTTAGGTTTCTTTTCCACTATTTTTATTATTTTTATTGTTTTTTTTCTTACCGATTTTGTGTACACGATTTCTCAGAAACGGCTCGCTCGATTTTCATGAAACTTTCAGGACTGATAAAGCATCAAACAAAGCTGATATATAATTTTTTGTTTTGATGACGTCACTTCCGGTTTTGAGATTTTTGCGATTTGGTGATTTTAGGGGGGTCAGTTTGTCCGCGAGTTTTCCCAAAAACGGCTTAAGATAGAAACTTGAGTTTTTTGAGCAATGATAGAGCAATGTCTGTAGATGTGACATACGCATTTCATTTTTACCGGAAGTGCTGCACGCCGACGCTCGCTATGGTCCAAAAATCGGCATGTCGAGAATTTAAAAATTTCTAACACCTTTTCTTCGATATCTTTTCACATACAAATATTTTGTTAAGACATATAGAACAAAAGAAGTGTAGAATTACACGATCTTTCAAATGATATCTCGTAAAAAGGGCTGGCCCCTAAAATAAAGGGCCTAGAGGGGCCGAAAATTTTTCATTTATATCTCAAAAAGTATTGAGAATTTGTTATACGTCTAAAAAGCAAAGTTGTTCAAAATGTCAAGCTGAATCTGTTGAAGTCGTCAAAATGCGTCCGGCATTGTCACTTCCGGTCATACCGGAAGTCGTCAGAATATGCATATTTTTGCCGTTCTTGACATATTTTTGGGTAACATATGTATCTGGAAGCATAAAACTTCATTTTCTGTCCGTTGACATCACTTCCGGTCAAACCGGAAGTGACCGGAAGTAGCCAAAAATAGCTTGTTTTTGAAGGTTTAAATACAAAATCAAAATTATAAAGTCAATGGAGACCACTTAGCTCATTTGCTTTCATTTGTTGACGTCACTTCCGGTCAAAACAGGACGGAAGACCTACTCGTTGCTTTGCAACGAGCTTTGCTCTAGTTATTATTATTATTATTATTATTCCTCCCAAATTTTGTGAGCGCGATTACTCAGAGATGGTTGGATAGATTTTCACAATTTTTTACAAGATAGTAGGCTGATATGTGAAGTTTATATAAAATTCCGTTTTTTGAAATATTCACTTCCGGTCCGAAGTTATGGCCGAATTTCCAAATTTTAAATTGACTATTGTCCAGAATTTTTCTCAAGAACAGGTTGTGGTAAAAATGTGAAATTTACGGGACTCTTAGATCATCACATTCTCTTTGTTTTGACGTAGTTTTCGTGTGTTTCCGTTACTTCCTGTCCGAACCGGAAGTGAATTTGTGTTTCGGTCAATTTTCGACTTTTTTGTTTGAAATAATTTTTTCAAGATATTTCTAGGTATAATAGAGATATGTCCACAATAGCCAAATATATAATTTGTTTTAAAATCAGATCACATGTTTTGTAGATTTCGGCTACTTTCGTTTTGCATTTATAAAATCAAAGTACTGAAAGTACTAAAGGGGCATTTCTTACTTTTAATTACATGAAGGTTACGTTTACATGTTTTTCTGCATACAAAAATCAAAACATACAGACTCATTAATATTAGGAGTAAGATAACATAATTGCAATGAAAATCAAAGTACCTAAAGTACTGAGAGGACTGATTTAGATACCAACCTTTTTCTCACTAAAGTGTACATGCACATGTATGCAGTATAAACAGGCATGTTTTCCTACACATAAACATCAATGCATACAATAAGTTGCCTATGGAAGCTTTTTTTTGTCAGTCAATAAAAATCATAGTACCACAAGTACTGAAAGGATATTAACTATATTATTTTACTTTGACTTATATATACATGTAAATCTTTCTTTGAATGCAAAAATTAATTCAATTCATATAAACACGTATTATAATTTGTCATGTGTATTCAACAAGGATGGTGAATACTTTCATTTATGTAGTGAAAATCAAAGTACCCCAAGTTCTGAGACGTTGTCTTCTAGATACTCCGCATTTATTTTTTTTAATTTAAAGACAGTTAAAATATGCTTCTTAACCAAAAAAAAAATTGCATGCAGAAGAACAATAGATGCATTCATTTTTGCAGTAAAAATCAAAGGACTGCAAGTACCGAAATGACATACTTAGTTTCTTACAATTTTAAATTTATTAAATAATGTACACGTTTCTCTACATACAAAAAACAATGCAAACGGTATCATACAGGAACGGAAGACTTTTTTGTTGCCATGGCAACAAGAGTCTAGTTATTATTATTATTATTTTTCTTCCAACCGATTTTGTGCAAGCGATTTCTCAGAGATGGCTCGTCCGATTTATACCAAACTTTCAGATCTGAAAGATATTCAATTAATCTTGATAGGTTTTTTTGCTTTTTGATTATCTCACTTCCGGTCGTGAGATATGGTCGATTTTCTGATTTTCAGAGGGTCGGCTTGTCCAGGAAACTCCTCCGAAACGACTTAAGATATCAACTTAAGATTTTCAGTGAAAATAAAAGAAGGTTTGGTGAGTTGTAATTGGGTCTCCAAATCTTTCTAGCGCAAAAGGCGCCGGAGCTCGGTAGGGCCCGAAAAAATGTCTCAGAAATATCTCATAAAATTTGACACATTTTGTTTCATATCTTAATACCGGATCATAATTTGTTAAAGCATATTGAAGAAAAAATGTTCAAAATCTCAAGACCTTTCATTTGATGTCAAAAAAATGGGGCTGACCCCTCAAATTAAGGGCTAAGAGGGGCCAAAAGTCTTTTATCTATAACTCTCTAATGATCAATATTTTGTTATACATTACTGAAGCAAAAATATTTATCTTAACTATTTGCAACAATATATGATAAAATTTTGATCATATGTTACGTAATTAGGGGTCACAAGGGGCCAGAATGTCAACTCTTTGACGCTTTATATCTCAAAAAGGGGGAATATTTTAATAAGCAATATTGAACAAAAGATGTTTAGAATAATGTTTTAAACAATATGCATATTTTGAATTTTTGAAAAACGGCCCCATTAAGGACTTGTAGGGATGGCCCCTAAATATTTCCATTAAGCATATCTCCACAACGAATAGAAATCTCTGAATAAGTGCTGAATAAAAAATCTTCATAATCACAAGACCTTTCATTTGATACCAAGAAAATGGGGCTGACCCCTCAAATAAGGGGCTAAGAGGGGCCAAAAGTCTTTTATCTATAACTCTCTAATGATCAATATTTTGTTATACATTACTGAAGCAAAAGTATTTATCGTAACGATTTGCAACAATATATGATAAAACTTTGATCATATGTTACGTAATTAGGGGTCACAAGGGGCCAGAATGTCAAATCTTTGACGCTTTATATCTCAAAAAGGGGGAATATTTTAATAAGCAATATTGAACAAAAGATGTTTAGAATAATGTTTTAAACAATATGCATATTTTGAATTTTTGAAAAACGGCCCCATTAAGGACTTGTAGGGTTGGCCCCTAAATATTTCCATTAAGCATATCTCCACAACGAATAGAAATCTCTGAATAAGTGCTGAATAAAAAATCTTCATAATCACAAGACCTTTCATTTGATACCAAGAAAATGGGGCTGACCCCTCAAATTAGGGGCTAAGAGGGGCCAAAAGTCTTTTATCTATAACTCTCTAATGATCAATATTTTGTTATACATTACTGAAGCAAAAGTATTTATCTTAACTATTTGCAGCAATATATGATAAAACTTTGATCATATGTTACGTAATTAGGGGTCACAAGGGGCCAGAATGTCAAATCTTTGACGCTTTATATCTCAAAAAGGGGGAATATTTTAATAAGGAATATTGAACAAAAGATGTTCAGAATAATGTTCTAAACAATATGCATACTTTGAATTTTTGTAAAACGGCCCTATTAAGGACCTGTAGGGATGGCCTTTAAATATTTCCATTAAGCATATCTCCACAACGAATAGAAATCTCTGAATAAGTGCTGAACAAAAAATCTTCAAAATCACTCTCTAATGATCAATATTTTGTTATACATTATTAAAGCTAAAGTATTCATCTTAATGATTTGCAACAATATATTATAAAATTTTGGTCTTATCTTACTTAATAACGGGTTGCAAGGGGCCAAAATGCTATTTTTTTATGCTTTACGTCTCAAAAAAGGGGGAGCATTTTTATAAGCAATATTGAACAAAAGATGTTCAGATTATCGTGATTAAATCCGACACTTTAGATCTAAAGAAGAAAAACTTAATGTCATTTTCTTTTAACTAATATCTCAGTCAAAATCACATCTCATCTTATCGAGAAATTCAACGGAAGACCTACTCGTTGCTCGCAACGAGATCTCATCTAGTTTTTATTTATTTTTTGTTTCAGATTTTGAGTCCTCACCAAAGCGAGAAAAGTAAAAAAAAATTATTTGCATTAGCTTCTAATTAAAAGAGAACAAACAAAAAAGTTCATCTAACCAGAGATTTGATATTAAATTGTCGCAGAAAAAGAACTATAGTGTAGTGTTGAATATTTTCTAGTTTCAGGCCATATTACTCGGAACTGGATAACACGGACAAACAGGAAACATACGACGTCCTTCATCCATATTTGGAACCCATCTCATCACGTGACAATACGTATCACTATGTTAATAATAAAATAAACTGATCATGTGGATTTTTGTTGTTGAATTGTGCTTTTAGTGTATTTTTTTTTTTAGAAAAAGTTGTTGGATTAAAAAAACAGCTTTTCATGAAAAGTTGTGGGATTCTCAATATTTAATGTGCTTTAAAATCAGATTGTGCAAATAGCCCCCCCCCCCTCCCCAATGAAACCTTCTTTTTCAACATATATTCTTTAAAGAATGAAAGTGTACATACGTATATAGCGTTTAAAAAAATGAATTAAATATATTTCTTGGTGTGGATTTACCTTTCAAACTTCATCCATTATTTCATACCAGTATACTTAATTCATGAAAATTATGCGATTATGGGCCATAATTCAAATAAAAGAAAGCAAAATATAACACATAATTAAGATATAATACATATAAAATATGTCTATACATGTATCTAAACTTCGAAAGAGGTCATTGAAACATAGCTGTGGCATAAAGTCGATGACGTAAACTGTTTGAACATATTTTATTGAACGAGTCGAATGGATTGGAAACAAGTTCTTGCAACTTACAAGTTCCTCTCCATAAATATAACAATATGTCATGCAAATAATACATTAAAATATGATATTTATAATATTTTCAAGTGATGCAAGTTAATTACAAATCAATTTAAAATCTACATGTTTCAGTAATAAATCAATGGACAGCAGCAAAAATTTTAATATTAGTTGATACAGGCAAATCTCTATCACCCCTATCATGAACAGGTGGTTAAAAAGATTGTTTCTAGCATTTGCATACTTTGTACAAGCAAAAAAATAATGATAAACATCTTCAAACTTTCCACAAGAACAAAGAGGACTGTTGATAATATTGCGTTTATATAGATCATAATTAAGTAAACAGTTGTGTCTTAGTTTAGTATGAAGTATGTTTGTGTAGCGTTTACCAAAAGAAAAATATGTTGGCGGATTGATGATTTTTGTACAAGCTCTTAAGTTTTTACGGAAGGAATTAATTGAGATGGCTTCTCTTGTATCTAATTTCAATAAATTCCATTGTTTCACGGCGTCTGGCACAAATGACTTTTTGAATAGTTCTAATCTACATCTTGGAATAATGAACTGTTCTTTATTGCGGGTATTGAATTTTGATACATTTTCATGCTTGTTTGGTACAATATTATTTAAATATTCAGGGACAGTCTCTTTCTGTATTTTGAACATAGTAGACATTTTTGCAACATAACGTAATAACGCCTAAATTTTAAAGTTTCCCAACCAGTTTCTAAGTAAAGTGTTTCAGTAGATGCAAAAATAGGAAGTCCGGTGACAATTCTAGCCGCAGCTAGTTGTACTTTTTCCAGCTTTTCAGAATCTTGTTCAGAGCACCCATCCCATACAACAGAAGACGTAAACTATCAAGTTAAAGTCTAAAAATAAAACTGATAACAGAGACATAAAGTTGATGTTCTGCTGAGATGGATGGAATAAAAAAATGTCCATAGAGTACCCCCCCCCTTCTCATACACAGGTGCATTAGTTTCTTCTGGGGTATGATGAAAATAGAAATAGTCTTGCCATTGTCAGGTTAACGTAATCTACCCGCAAATCTTTACTTAAAGTAATATATCTTTTGTAGGAATGTGGATGGTATTCTAAGTTCAAAAATATCCTTTCAATAATTAGGAGCTCAATTTCATGATATCTGAACGAAGTATCGCAGGGGGGGTTGTGTTGTCCAACGTTTTTTTTCTCTAAACATTACTTTTTATTGTTGAAAATGTTTATTAGAAGGCTGGTTGTCCCCTCCCACTCTCTACATTAATAAGCCAAATCGGGTAATGTTGTCAGTACTGTATTCAAATGAGAAAAGTTTGAATTTAACTCTGAACCCCCCCCCCTTTAAAAGCGATTTTCGTGTTTGTACAAATTTCTGCCTGAATATATCGAACAGATAACACTGAAATGCTTTCTTTGAAAATTGAAGGATTTTCTAAGAATTTAATAAATCCATTAATTTATTGAATATTGTGATACACTAATTTATAATACATATTTGATTGTCTTTAGACTTTTGAAAGCCAAATAAAATCTAAATCGCTAAATCGATAATACATCTCCAATTAATTGTCTCAAAATCATTAAACAAAAAAGAAATGAAATGATTAATTGCAATAAAGTTTACAAATAAAAATATCTAAGATTTTATATTGGGTAACGTATTGAGAGGATTCAAGCCTTTCCGGTCATTATACTTATCATCAAAATAAAGGTCATGTGACACGGAACTGAAGAGCCACCATCTTGAAATGAATCAGAAGAGGAATTGATAAATAAAGGGTGCTAAACCCCCAAAATTAATGTAATTTATACCATCAGATACAAATATTGCTTAAAAACGTAAAATATCCATGTCTTCAGGCAATACGTTACAGGTACAGTATTTGCTACACCTTGGAAGGTCATTGTAAACTCGGTTCCTTGCTAATGATCACCTGTTATTTGGAAATCGTGTGTTAATGTATAATATTTGACATCCTTCTGTGGCTTTATAATAAAGTGCACATTGCATGCCATATAGCAGAGAACAAAATTTTAAACTTTAATCACTGTGAAATTTTATTGCACCAGTACAATTTTTGAATTGAAGCTTTCCATTCTAACATCTATTTGTGGTGTTATTATGCTATAGTTTTCACACCATTTATACAAGTTTTGCAGGCTCCTTTACTGAACATGTTCATGATGACATCAAAAACAGCCACATTAAAGTAGGGCAGAAAATATTGAGAGTTAAAATGTGTTTACTTTGGGTTTACGCAGTCCATGCATATTTTATCCCATGTTTTGTATCACAATCTTTCAAAAAAACAAAAATAAAATGCACAAAGCTGTACACCATGTCTGCTTATAAAAGTAATACTATTGAATAGCTCCAGAATATATATATATGTTTAAAACTGTTTAGCATCGAAATTTGGAATACCATGAGCAATGTCTATTTTTAGATGTTTCTGCAAGTCCCATGATTTGCATGTGATATTGATAAAAGAAAGGATCATAATTATTCCTAACAACATATTGTCTGTATAAAGGTGTTGCTGTGACTCGGTTTAGAGTATTTCTATGAATTGAGACAGAAAGCACACTCTGTCAAAATTAGACAGGGGAGAAGGTAGTGCTATCATATGCACTCCTGACGATTTTCAACATGAATTCTGTTTTTCGGCGATATGTGAATGGGCATGGAGCATATGTTCCTGGCACTGCTTTACTTGTAAGCACAAGATATACTATGAGTTTAAAAGGATAAAAGTTAAGGTGTTAAAAGTTAATATATAACTGATGTTTTCCATCCATTTACAGAAAGCCATTGAGCTTGTTACAAAAGCCACAGAAGAAGACAAGAATAAGAATTATGAGGAAGCTCTACGGCTCTATGAACACTCAGTAGAGTACTTTTTACATGCTATGAAATGTGAGTACATGAACCATTATAAAATTTCACATATAATGTAGGCAAAATCTTTTCCCTGGCTGATGTTTAGCTTTCAATATACTTATTATGTGTAATTGAATTTTAGATGAGGCACAAAGTGAAAAAGCGAAAGACAGTATCCGAGCCAAATGTGCACAATATCTAGACAGAGCAGAGAAACTAAAACAATTCTTGAACAAAAAGTCCAAAAAGCCAGTGGCAGATGGAGGAGGGTCTAACAACAAAGGGTATGTACATTGTGCAAAAACATAAATTCATACATTGAATACAATGTATGAAGTGTTCATTGTAATGAGATTGCAAGAGAGAATAAATCATATTTTTCTTAATTTTAAAAGAAAATCATCAAAGAACAATGACTCTGACAGTGATGAAGAAGATCCAGATAAAAAGAAGTTTTCAAATCAGCTGTCAGGTTTGGTCTACACTTAAGAAATTATACATTGAAAAAATAAAAAGCTTGCCCACTCTTTCTTTACTACATGTATATAGTTGATTTGAAAAAAAAATGAAAAGCAGTTTCTACATCTATAAATCTGATAAATATTCTTGGGTTCCAGTTTGTTTTAAAAAAAAAGTTAATCAATATCTGTAGGTTCTAATTTTTTCATTTAGGGTGTATCTTCCAGTTTTCCACAAAATAAAAAAAAATGCAGTTAAATTTTTGAAATATTACAGGTGCCATTGTGATGGAAAGACCTAATGTAAAATGGGATGATGTTGCTGGTTTACACATGGCTAAAGAAGCACTTAAAGAGGCTGTAATTCTACCTGTAAAATTTCCTCATCTTTTTACTGGTAAGAGTACCATGTAAATAAATTTCATAAGTAAGAGTTACTACTTGTAGGAAACCTTTTAAGACTGTCTCAGGATATAAATGAACATTACTATTGGAGATTGCTTTCAATGGAAACACTTTTGTCCTCAGTTTTAAAATCACCAGTTACTCTGGTTTTTACAATTTCAAAGCATTTCTTTGTTCAAGACCTTGTCATTCCTAATAAACAGATTTATTTTCATTCTCTTATAGGTAAAAGAAAACCTTGGAGGGGAATTTTATTGTTTGGAGTTAGTATTCTAAATAAAAATATTGAATTTACATGTATGTTTAAAAACAAATTATACATTTTAGGAAAAAAAAAGTTCAGTAATGAATTGAACTTATTCAGTCTCATATAAGTGCAGTGGAATTGTTTTTTGAAAAAAAACCCCACATTTATTGCTATATATTACAGCCTCCTGGTACAGGAAAGTCCTATCTTGCAAAAGCTGTGGCAACAGAAGCCAATAACTCGACCTTCTTTTCGGTTTCATCAGCTGATTTAGTGTCAAAATGGCTGGGAGAAAGTGAAAAGTAAGTCGTTTCTTATGGACATAAAATGTAGCTTACATGTGTGTAAAATAACCAGGTTAAAGACTTTGGAAAAGGTTTATCTAATATCAGGTAATTAGGCCAAAACCAAAAATAGTCTTGTTTCCTACTATCTGACCTACCCTATTTTTTTTGCACCCGACCCTAAAGTTTTTTTTTTAAGTTTTGGAGAAAAAAATTAAGAATTTCAGGAATTTCATGTTCAGAAAGTAAAGAAAAAATATAATCAGGTGGTATTTCATGAAACTGTATAAAGATGTGATAATATCTAATTTTAAAATATAATGTTGACCTGTATGACCTGTTTTATTTGGTCATATCAAAAAATGCCACTGGAAAAAATAGAATTAAATAAAAAATTAAATAATTTTCCTACCTACCTACCCTATTTTTTTCAGGCTGGTAGCAGGAAACAAGGCTATTATTTTTTTTGGCCTTACATTATCCTGATCAAACTTTCATGGATGTTGTTTGTATGGTTGTACTTTACCAGAGCAATTATTTAGAGAGAGATTTTTCCTTTCTTTTAGATTGCATTAATTTAACTGAATCTTGTTATCTCTAACTACCTTTATTTTAAAATGCATAATTCAAAAAATATTGGCAGAATATGTGATTCTGTGAAGTAATTCTGATATTTTTTATTTCAGATTGGTAAAGACATTATTTGCCTTAGCTCGTGAGAATAAGCCCAGCATTATATTTATTGATGAAGTGGATGCCCTCTGTGGATCGCGTAGTGAGAATGAATCTGAGTCGGCAAGGAGAATCAAAACGGAGTTTCTGGTCCAGATGCAGGGAGTGGGTGTAGACAATGACGGTGTTCTAGTATTAGGAGCTACAAACATACCCTGGGTGCTGGACTCGGCTATAAGGAGAAGGTGAATATTGTTTGCTCTTTTGATGTTTTTATTCAGAAATTGATGTCTGTTTTCTTCATGGTAGACATTAATATCATTTTACAGTGAACCACATATATAGGATAATGAAAGTTGTTTTATTTACGTTGTCATTACTATCCTGTGTACATTTTGGGTGCACATTATTTCTTTCTGAATTTAATTATCATATCAGTAGTTTAAAATAAAAAAAAAAAATAATGACTTTGACTAGTGTGTATTTACATTAGCAATTAACAAATAATCGTATGCATGATTTTTTGGATTTTTTCCCCTAAGTTTACTGGTAATTGAGTGGATTTCAAAACAAGGCATCTGTATCACTTTATTTTTTTTTTTAGCTCTACTGGTCAGAGACCAGAAGAGCTTATGCGATAGTAAGGTGTCCGTCGTCCGTCCGTCTGTCTGTAAACAATTTTTCAAGATGCTACTCCTCCTACAGTTTTGGTCTGATTTCAGTATAACTTGGCACACAAGTAGACTACACTAAGATACATAAAATAGTGCATCGGTTTTTGATTTTGATGAATGGTGTTGCTATGTTTACTAAAAATAGAATTTTCTGTGAAATTTTTAAAATGCTACTCCTCCTATAGTTTTGATCTGATTTCAATATAACTTGGCACACAAGTAGACTACACTAAGATACATAAAATAGTGCATTGGTTTTTGATTTTGATGAACAGTGTTGCCATGGTCACTAAAAATAGAATTTTCTGTGAAATTCCTTTAAAATGCTACTCCTCCTACAGTTTTGATCTGATTTCAATATTACTTGGCACACAAGTAGACTACACTAAGATACATAAAATAGTGCATCGTTTTTTGATTTCGTTGAACGGTGTTGCCATGGTTACTAAAAATAGAATTTTCTGTGAAATTCCTTTAAAACGCTACTCCTACAGTTTTGGTCTGATTTCAATATAACTTTGCACACAAGTAGACTGCACTAAGATACATAGAATAGTGCATCGGTTTTTGATTTCGATGAACAGTGTTGCCGTGGTTACTAAAAATAGAATTTTCTGTGAAATTCCTACAAAATGCTACTCCTCCTATAGTTTTGATCTGATTTCAATATAACTTGGCACACAAGTAGACTACACTAAGATACATAAAATAGTGCATTGGTTTTTGATTTTGATGAACAGTGTTGCCATGGTCACTAAAAATAGAATTTTCTGTGAAATTCCTTTAAAATGCTACTCCTCCTACAGTTTTGATCTGATTTCAATATTACTTGGCACACAAGTAGACTACACTAAGATACATAAAATAGTGCATCGTTTTTAGCTCACCTGAGCCGAAGGCTCAAGTGAGCTTTTCTGATCACATTTTGTCCGTCGTCCGTCCGTCTGTCCGTCTGTCTGTCTGTCTGTCTGTCTGTCTGTCTGTCTGTCTGTCCGTCCGTCTGTAAACTTTTCACATTTTCGACTTCTTCTCAAGAACCACTGGGCCAATTTTGACCAAACTTGGTACAAAGCATCCTTGGGTAAAGGGGATTTTAAATTGTTAAAATTAAGGGACATATCCCCTCGCAAGGGGAGATAATCAAGAAAAGACAAAAATAGGGTTGGGTCATTAAAAAATCTTCTTCTCAAGAACCACTGGGCCAGTAAAGCTGAAACTTATGTGGAAGCTTCCTGGGGTAGTGTAGATTCTAAATTGTTCAAATCATGACCCCCAGGGGTAGGGCGGGGCCACAATGGGGAATCAAAGTTTTACATAGAAATATATAGGAAAAATCTTTGAAAATCTTCTTCTCAAGAATCACTGGGCCAGAAAAGCTGAAACTTATGTGGAAGCATGCTGGGGTAGTGTAGATTCTAAATTGTACAAATCATGACCCCCGGGGGTTGGGCGGGGCCACAATGGGGAATCCAAGTTTTACATAGAAATATAAAGGAAAATCTTTGAAAATCTTCTTTTCAAGAACCACTGGGTCAGAAAAGCTGAAACTTACGTGGAAGCATCCTGGGGTAGTGTAGATTCTAAATTGTTCAAATCATGACCCCCAGGGCTTGGGCGGGGCCACAATTGGGAATCAAAGTTTTACAAAGAAATATAAAGGAAAAATCTTTGAAAATCTTCTTCTCAAGAGCCACTGGGCCAGAAAAGCTGAAACTTATTTTGAAGCATCCTGGGGTAGTGTAGATTCTAAATTGTTCATATCATGACCCCCGGGGGTAGGGTGGGGCCACAATGGGGAATCAAAGTTTTACCTAGAAATATGTAGGAAAAATCTTTGAAAATCTTCTTCTTAAGAACCACTGGGCCAGAAAAGCTGAAACTGATGTGGAAGCATCCTAGGATAGTTTAGGTTATAAAATGTGCAAATCATGACCCCCGGGGGTTGAGCGGGGCCACATTCGGGAATCAAAGTTTTACATAGAAATAAATAGGAAAAATCTTTAAAAATCTTCTTCTCAAGAACCACTGGGCCAGTTAAGCTGAAACTTATGTTGAAGCATCCTTGGGTAGTGTAGATTCTAAATTATGCAAATCATGACCCCCGGGGGTAGGGCGGGGCCACAATGGGGAATCAATGTTTTACATAGAAATATATAGGAAAAATCTTTGAAAATCTTTTTCTCAAGAACCACTGAGCCAGAAATGCTGAAACTTATGTGGAAGCATCCTGGGGTAGTGTAGATTCTAAATTGTTCAAATCATGACCCCCAGGGGTTGGGCGGGGCCACAATAGGGAATCCAAGTTTTACATAGAAATATACAGAATAAATCTTTGAAAATCTCCTTCTCAAGAACTACTGGGTCAGAAAAGCTGAAACTTATGTGGAAGCATCCTGGGGTAGTGTAGATTCTAAATTGTTCAAATCATGACCCCCGGGGGTTGGGCGGGGCCACAATAAGGAATCAATGTTTTACATAGAAACATATAGAAAAAATCTTTGAAAATCTTCTTCTCAAGAACCACTGGGCCAGAAAAACTGAAACTTATGTGGAAGCATACTGGGATAGTGTAGAATTCAAATTGTTTAAATTATGATCATTGGGGTAGGATGGGGTCACAATATGTATTACAAGGGGGAAATCTGGTAAAGAACGGAATGGCCAAAGCTTCTCAGGTGAGCGATGTGGCCCATGGGCCTCTTGTTTGATTTCGTTGAACGGTGTTGCCATGGTTACTAGTGATGGAACGATTGTCGCCGACAATCGATTGTCGGTCGTTAGAAGCTCTTCGATGCTACTAATCGATTATAAAATAAATGTCGCCGACATCGCTAACAAAAAATAAAAGTCTCATACTTTCAATTTTATTACCAAATCCAAGTGTAAAGAGCATAAAGTAGTGATGATTGTTGAAAACATTGTAAAAAAATTAATTCCCATTCTGTTTCAATAGTCCTATAGTGTTTAAAGTAAACAAAATATCATATTATTTTCCACTTTTAGAAAAAGAAATTTCAATTAATATTTTTGAATATTTTATGTAAGTTAATGATTTTTTTGTAAAATCTTACAGAAATCTAAATAAGTTTTAACTTTTCTATATTAATTTCATTAAAGTTCAAAATTTCGATTATAATCGATTATTAATCGATTATGCCCAGCCGATTATTACCGATAATCGATTCTGATTTTTTTCCGATTCCCCATCACTAATGGTTACTAAAAATAGAATTTTCTGTGAAATTCCTTTAAAACGCTACTCCTACAGTTTTGGTCTGATTTCAATATAACTTTGCACACAAGTAGACTGCACTAAGATACATAGAATAGTGCATCGGTTTTTGATTTCGATGAACAGTGTTGCCGTGGTTACTAAAAATAGAATTTTCTGTGAAATTCCTTTAAAACGCTACTCCTACAGTTTTGGTCTGATTTCAATATAACTTTGCACACAAGTAGACTACACTAAGATACATAGAATAGTGCATCGGTTTTTGATTTCGATGAACAGTGTTGCCATTGTTACTAAAAATAGAAATGTCTGTGAAATTCCTTTAAAACACTACTCCTTCTACAGTTTTGGTCTAATGGCAATGGCTTCTTTTCTCATCCTTTGTTATAAGTACAAACCAGTAGAGCTACAGTCTCGACAAAGACTTCTGGTTAAATATCGAACCAATATTTCATGCAAATATTTTAAATGTGATATTGTTTTCATGTCTAAATGAAGGTAAATAGATAGCTTCATTTAGTAAAACAATGTCACAATTATATAAAATTTAAGATTAATATTATAGTCTAAAAATGTTCTCATTTTGTCATATTTTTTCATCTAAAAATATGTATAAAAAATTCTATTTGATTAGGTTTGAGAAAAGAATTTATATTCCCCTGCCTGAAGCCCCTGCCAGAACAGAGATGTTTAAGCTTCACCTGGGGAACACCCCTCACAGCCTTAGTGAGGAGGAATTCCGAGAACTAGGGCGGAGGACAGAGGGGTATTCTGGAGCTGACATATCCATTGTGGTCAGAGACGCTCTAATGCAGCCTGTCAGAAAAGTCCAAACAGCTACACATTTCAGAAAAGTAAGTCTAGCAATATTAGCCATCTTAATGTAAAACAAACATTCCTCCAGGATCATAATAGAAAGGGTTCTTACTAATTATGTTTGCAATGTTATGTTCAGTAATTTCTAAGGATGTCAAAATAAAAATTTTCCTTAGTCGAACATTCGATTGCATTATTCGAACAATAGTCGACTATTCGAAGCATTTTTATAGCACGGTGTTTTTGAAAGCTTATCAAGTAGAATAAATTAGAAAATTGAAAAAAATTGGAAAATGGGAATTGTTAACACACACTATCCACACATCCAGTGATTTTGTTAAATACTGTTTGTTCAATTAATGATTACCCAAACTATCATAATGCCTTTTATGTAAGATTATTGTTTTGATAATTATCGAAGTTCAAAAAACTTCACAGCCATGCAGATATTGTTTGTTCCTAGGATTTAAAATTCCTAGAGGTTATGAATATAATTGGTACAATTCAATTAATTAATTTTCAAAGTCCAGTATAAGCTGCATAATTTACTACAAAAACGAAAAGTCAGTGATTGAGAAATAATTGTCACAGTATGTAATTACTGTTTTTTTTTTTTTTTGGTTTGTTCCCATCTCGCCTTAACTGTAAAATTTAGCATTCTCATTTCGCCTTAGTAAGCTCTCAGATGAATTAAGGTGATGAAGATTTAATATATTTAGCATAAAGTACTTTTTGGTATTACACGTATTATTTCATTCACAGTATTTATAAATTTCCATTAAATGTTATATTCAATCAAAAAATTTTTATCATTTAAATTTTTATATCAACCTAGTATTAATATTTACAAATACTAAAATTCCCATTTCGCCTTAGTATTTCACAATTAAGGCAAAATGGGAACACACCTTTTTTCCATATGTACAATTTGGAAAAATGTTTATATACTGTGACTGTGTTTGAGCTCTCGTCTGAGGACGTACACTATGAGAGGAAGGGCGCTTTTTCAGTTTTGAGATGAGAATTTCATTATCACCTCCTTTACTTGCATTTATTTGATATTCAAATGTCGTTTCATTATTCGATTGTCGGCCCATTCGACTGATAGTCGAATAGTCGACTATTCGTTGACATCCCTAGTAATTTCGTTTTTCGATGCTTCAAGAGCACACAGTTTCAAATATGGATATATGCAGCATCCCAATAACCCAGATCTAGATCATACCTTAACTGTGAATGTATTTCTAAGAAACAGAACAGACTTTAATTGATGAATAATATTTTTGATTTAGGTGCGAGGTCCCTCGAGGGAGGATCCCAATGTGATAGTGGATGACCTACTGACTCCCTGTTCTCCAGGGGCCCCTGGAGCTATGGAGATGAACTGGACAGACGTTGATGGAAATAAATTGCTAGAACCCATTGTATCCATGGTTTGTACAACTTTATCATTATTTCTATGAGACTTAGGACCTCATGAATTTTAAAGGAAATTGATATTTGTGAGTTGTCTTCCTTGACATTCAGAGTTAGTTTATTCAAACATTTTTTCACATTTAAAATTCTACAACATGTACAAGAAGGAATTTTTTTAAGTCAATAATATTTTTTGTTAATTCTAAACCTTGCTTATTCATTTCAGAATGACATGTTAATGTCATTAGCCACATCTAAACCTACAGTGAATGAAGCGGACCTTAAAAAGTTAGAGGAGTTCACTGCTGATTTTGGACAAGAAGGATAGCTTTAGGGATCTCTTTATCTTTTATATCTGGTTTATTAATATACATGTATAAGAACTTGTATGACACTGTGCAAACTTGAAAGAAGATGGTGTTCTAGGATACCCCATCAAAGCACAAAGTATCTTGTCAATATGGATATGACTGTGTTGTGTGACCTGCTCATGTGTAGGATATCCTCTTATAGAATTCAGTATCCCTATAGGCTACTGATTAGAAATAAACTGTGATAGAAGTTGGTACATGATGACTTAGTATGGCTGAGTGAGTGAAATGAACTTTTTCTGTATGAAAACCATCTGTATATTTTTTCAGTCTTTGCTTAAGAGGATGAAAATGGTGATGAATCATTTTACCTACTTTATCTGCAAATTTGATTCTGACAGTGCGTTTTGTTTTCTCCATTGTAGTTATGTAAATGTGGCATTAATTGTCTGTTGACAGTAATGCATGATGCCTTTTGTGTTTTTTAATATTCCTTCTTCATGTCTTTATGTTGATGTACATGTAATAGTTAAAACAGTGTTTTGAGAGGATGCAAGACATAATTGAATAGATGTTAATAGGATATAAATGCTGTAAAATAAACTACTATTATTATTAAAGTCATTATTGAGACTTATTTAGTTACTAGTTAGGTCTCTAATGTCTGGCAGTTTGAGACGCTCACCTGAGCATAAGGCTACAAATTCCACAAACATGTGAAATTCATCCCCCTTCCCACCCTTTCCTGTTGGATTGGGCTGAAAGTTCTTACAAAAATAGTACAGTTTTGTAAAGATTTCTTCACTTTTGGGCATCAAGCTTCCAAACTGCTGGCATGATTGTTATGAGTGTTGAGCCTGTAATTTAGAATTTTGACCTGGGTTGAAAATTGACCCCCTGGATTTGTCTTTTTTGAATAAAGGTTTTGAATTTGACCAAAAGGTGTTGAATATGAGCCAGGTTGTACCACTGTTGTAGAATTTTGATCATGAAACTGGTTCTAATTGCAACAGCATGAGAAACACATATTAATGAATTAATATTCACAACTATGATTTACTCAATTAAATATACATGTACTTAATTCAGTTTTATTTTTTAGAACATTTACATTAATATGTTATTTCCATTCATAAGTTGACTCCATATATTCCAATGAACTTGAAATAAAAGACCACAGAGTCTGCCATAAATAGTTTATATTTGGAAATTTTACTGACAGTGGATGATAAGGGCCCACAAACAAGCAAAATGTATAAAACGGGATGATTTCATATTTTCCATCATCAACTTTATTAAAGAACTAACCCGCTTTCACCTGTATATGATCCAAATTTATACGAGGGCATACTCAGAGTAGACAGACTACTGGTAAATAAGTCAATGTTACAGAGATTTCACCATCTTTGTTTAAAATCAGCATTAAGGAATTCTATGGTCGCTATACATGTATTGATTTGAAAAAAAAATACAAATATAGCATATCATTGGATCTATTTTGTTTGATGTGTTTCATACCAATTGTGAATTTGTAAGACTTTTGAATTTGACTACGTAATGTCATGTCAAACGGATCAATACTGAAAACAGGGTTATTTTTGCCCTTTCACACTGTAAAATTCGCCCAGTCGTAGTTTTGTTTAAGAAATTATACTGAATTTTTTTAATTCGCCCCATTTTAAAATCGCCCTCATGAGGTAAGAGCGAAATGGGCAAAAATAAAACGGGGCGAAATTTTTTAGTTGGCAAATCCACCTCTGGAATTTTCAGAGGCCCGTATCCTATACCATATTCACAGATTTGTATCATTTGTAGATGCTGCGAAATTAAAGTCGTAGGCGTCGGAACCGGGGATGGGGGGGGGGGGCTTTGCCCTCCCCCCACTTTTTTGCAAAAATAGACATTATGTAGGCATTGAAAATAGGGATTTACATTTTTTTTTGTTGGTTTAGCCCCCCCCCCCTGCCTCCCCACTTTCAATTTGCTTCCGACGCCCATGGAAGTAATGTCAAAAGTTTGGTTATACATGAAATGGAAGTCCAGGACAGGCATTTTGAGATCATAGCAAGCTACATTTTCTATGAAATTGGAACTCGTAAATTTACTTACCTTGCCATTGGTTGGTTATTTACAAAATTATTTTTTAAAAAACACTGATTGTACACACAAGTAGTTCGAAGCTGATGAGGTGCTTGAGTTTTGAATGACAATATCTAGTATGTGGTTTTTGGAGAACAGGGCTTCCAATCTGTCAGTATTCTCATGGATACCAATTGCACTCTGTTATTAGCAGACCTGGCTATTTTGTGTTTTCCTAAAGCAGAATTTATTTTTAAAAAATCAAAACTGTACTAAGAAGATAAATACACTTAAAATTTAGATGTTTATATCGACGTTATATATTTTCAATTAACAATAATTATCTCAATTCTTAGTTCGACTCTGTATATTCCAATGAACTTGAAATAACAGATACAACAGAGTTTGACTGATACATGTGTTTCATATTAGGATATACCATTAGAAAAAAGACGTTAATGGTAACCTAACAACAAACCTTTATGATGAAGGTGATAACTTCCCATTTTGTTGTTGACTACTTTTCTTTACTTATGTAGCAATAAACCCTTATCACCTGCACATGGGGTGCGTGTCTCTCAGTTGATTCGAGACGCAAGACCCATGCTCTTCCGACGAACACTTTATGGCAAGCTATTGACAAAAAGTTGATAAAACAGGGATATCAATCTCGTTTGAAGTCTGGCATCATTTTGAAAGTTCAGTTGTGGAGACAACGACGCGCCAGCAAATCATCGTTGGAAAACCACGGTCGGTAAGAGAAGCGCGAGACCGATCTTGGGGTAGCTGACGATGCAGCAAATACAATCTAACATTAATTAATTAAGTCAAATGCCGACTGAATTTTTTTTATACCTTTTGTTAGACAATTATTTACACATTGATTTGTATGGATTTTCCGTTTGCCAGATTATGACAAGTAGCACACAGCGGTGTCCGGTCGACATGGGATGCTTCATCGTCGGAAACCCACGGTCGGTCTCGCTTCTCGAGGTAAGAGAAGCGAGACCGACCGTGGGTTTCCGACGATGGGGATGCTTATACACTAGCTCCTCTATGTCACCTGATCACACCTCCGGTGTTTTTAGAGGCACGTGTTTGCTCTGCCCCGAATTTGTATTGCGTCCATGGACTTGTAAGCTTGATTACTGTTCGTTAGCATGGTTTTTTCTCTCCATATTTCATAGAGAAAACAATGTATATGAACCTATTTCAACTTTTAACATGTGGAAATCTAAGAAATACCGTAAAATATCGAGACTTTTTAAAGAGGAATCTGCAATCAAGTTGCAACTGGTTTTATATTTAACGAGTTCTTCATTCATAAAGAAAACCTTTTTATGTGATAATAAACTTTCAAAGGAACTTTAGAGCTGATAATCTTACTTATCCATCGTAGACATTCGCAGTCCGAAAGTAAAACTTACAAAAGCCTATTAGGATCACTCTAAAGAGAAAATTTTTTTTTAAAAGGCGTTATAACGCGAAAAAAGGCGTTATAACGCCTTTCTAAAAGGCGTTATTACGCCTTTCCATTCAAAAAGGCGTTATTACGTCTTTCCAAAAGGCGTAATTACGTCTTTCCAAAAGGCGTTATAACGTCTTTCTAAAAGGCGTTATTACGCCTTTCCATTCAAAAAGGCGTTATTATGCCTTTCCAAAAGGCTTTATTACGTCTTTCCATTCAAAAAGGCGTTATTACGCCTTTTAAAAGGCGTTATTACACCTTTTTAAAAGGCGTTATAACGCCTTTCAAAAAGGCGTTATTATACCTTTCTAAAAGGCGTTATGCCTTTCCAAAAGGGTTATTACGCTTTTTAATAACTATTATTTTGCATTTAACAGGCCCGTGCCTCTAACGCCTCCCCCCCCCCAACCACCACCACCATCATTCCCACTCTACTGGCCAAACTCGTGGGGTGACTTCTCGGTAAAACTTTGTTTAAATGCAATAATTTGCCACAGTTTTACACACTGCAACAAAAGGTTCAGGAACCAAGCAACCAACAGTTAATTATAATATCTAAACTGTAGCACTGGACTTTTCCAAAAGTGCGTTTGTGTGAAGGGGCGGTTTACCCCATTTGCACTCGTATTACTGGCCTACTTGAAAAGGAAAATGGAAATGCGTTATTTTATGTTAATCAATATATGAAAGATTTAATTAAAACAATCTTTATTTAAGCAATTCTCTATATTCCTGCACATCTCACTGACAACTGTTTGCATTCGTATTAAGAAAAGGCAACACTCTACTTGTGAAGATACGATATACTAGTAGGCAGATGTTTCTTGGAGCTTTGCTTGCTCTATATCAAAATTCATGTCATTTGAAGATATTTTTCTCTCTTCTTGGAAAAAAGCAGGCAAACTATTTACTATCTGTTTAAATTATTTTTTGAGAAATTAGTCCTATATCAAATTGTGAAATTCATGTCCCAAAGGTAAGATTTCTGAATCCCCCCCACCACCACCACTCGCTTGGGCTAAATATGTTTAGTCATGTATTGAAAATAAAAGACGCTATAACGCCTTTTTTAAAAGGCGTAATAATGCCTTTTGAAATGGAAAGGCGTAATAACGCCTTTTAGAAAGGCGTTATTACGTCTTTTTTCACGTTATTACGCCTTTTCGAAAGGCGTTATAACGCCTTTTAATTTTTTTCTCTCTAGATTGATCCTAATAGGCTTTCGTAAAAACTTCTTATATAGAATTCACAAAATTTATAACAATCTGTAATAATACGAATTCTTTGAATTTTTCAGCTTTAAATTAAAACATGTCTGTAGGATTATCTAGTAAATAATGCCTCCTGGCTTGTATGGAAGAAAACATCGGCTTGTACAGATAACGGTGACAAGTTGCATGTATTTTGGCAAAGGATGCATCTCGTTTATTTTATCGTAAATACTTAGCATATTTTTTTTTGTATACAATATGTTAAATATTTTTTAAGTTTGCAATCATACATATTAAACTATGCAAAGAGAGTGAAACATGCAGTGTAGAATATGAAAATCCATCGTGAATCTAAATAAAAAATATAATAATATCATTAAAAAACAAAATTACCGGTATTTTAAAAAAAATGATGAAAAAAATATCAAGATTAATTAGTTGTAAACAAAATGCGTAGTATGTTCACCAATTACAAAATTTATTTTAAATGCATACATAAAATGAAAAAGCAAATCACAAAAGCAAAATACTTCTGTTAATTTGTAAATGGACATAGATAAGGTCACAATGAGGTAGATAATGCATATCGCACCTGTGCTGTCTGGAGTATATATCAACTATTGGCGGACGATGCATCAGCTGTAGATCTGGTGTCAGCCTTCACTGTGAAGTGCCTGCATCAAAGCGAGAGATACATACCGAGAGATAAAAACGTAGACCCCCGGGCACCTGCCACGCCCACTGCGAGTTAACTCAGGGACTGTGTAGAAAACTAGAATAAAACGTTGACAAGACGAAACACAAAGACATGATAAGAAAATACAGATTCTATTATGTTTAATTTTCAAATATGAAACGAACACTTCTTTCAATTGTTCAACAAGAAATTGATTCAAAAAGGATATTTTTGGAAAAAAAAGTTTGATTTCTACTTTTCCAATTTTCTAATGGAGCCTTTTTTTCCCTTTCTTTTGTTTCTATTTTTTTTGGGAGAAAATGATCAAAATGTTGAGCTAGTTTAAAAACAACAAAATTCATGCAATAAAATAAATATGTCACCGTTGATTCTGGAGATGAGATGTGTAGTAATTAACATTGACTTTTTATATGGTCCCTTAATTATCGTCACATTAATTCCCCGGGAAAGTGTCCTTTTAGGACAGTTTCAAGTTAGGAAAAGAAAAGTCTTGGAAATACTTACGTAGCTCAAATGTAAGTATCAATTAATTATATATACTATTTAAAAAACATTACATAAAAAATATAGATCATAATATTTTACCATTACTAGTAATTATTCTTTACCATGCTGGTAAAGAATAATTACTAGTTTGGTAAAATATTATGATCTACATGTATTTTAAAAAATCTTTAATTTATTTAAAATAATTCCTTGTTACTATTCATTAATAGTAATAGTAAGAAAGGAATTTGATATTATATATACTTGAAACTTAAGAACAGATGGTATAAACAAAGAAATGGATGCCTGGATTGGTATATATTTTTTGGCCTATATTCATTGAAAATGATGCAAATGATAAATTTCTAAAATATAAAGAAATTGTAAACCTTCTATGATGTTCAAAATTCTGCCTCTCTGAAACCATCCTTACTAATCTATACAAATATTTTTAACTTCAAATCTCATTTTCGAGAAAATCTGAGTAAAAAATTAAAAACTGCGCGGTGAAACTTGTTCATTTTACTACTTCGGTAATTAAAACATGACTCAAGTTGTTATTTTCATATTTTTTGACAAAAGTTTGTATCATCTGTCCTTAAGAGAGAAAAACTTAAAACTGTGAAAATTTGTAATCTTTAAAACGGTAGTTTTCGCTATATTACTTCAGTCATCCATTTCTATATTCTTTGAACATAGTTAAAATATTGGGTACTTGAACTTACAAATATTTGCATAAAAATTCACCCCTTAGAATAAAGCCTTATATGATAAATGTGTTGAATTTAACTTCTCAATTATAAACTTTCCTTACTTATGCAGCAATTAATATTATCTTATTACCTGCATAGGGGGTTTACATCTTTCAGTTCATCCGATAACGTCCAGACTTTTTGATATCATTGACAACTGCTTATGCAATAAAATGGAACTCGTAAATTTATTTACCTTGTCATTGGTCATTTGCAAAATATTTTGTTGAAAAACACTCTGATTGTACACACAAATACCCGAAGTTGAAAAAATGGTTGAGTTTCTGATTGACAATATCTACATGTCTGTGGTTTTGGAGACCAGGTCTTTCAACAATCTATTGGAAATCTCATGGGTACCAATTACGCCCCATTATTTGCAGGTACCTATTTTTGTATTCATATGAAGCAGAATTTGTCCAAAATCTTATACAAAAGAAGAAAACACTTCTTCAACTCGACATTTATATATATCAACGACGTATTGCGTGTTAACAATTGTAATTTCCATTCTTATGTCGATACGAAATATGCTGGTGAGCTTGAGATAAAAAATACCACAGAGTCTGACACATCTGTTTCATATTTGGATATTTTACTTGAAAAAAAAGTTAATATTAATCTAACAACCAAGCTCTATGATAAACGTGATAACTTCCCTTACTTATCAGCAAATACCTTCATCACCTGCATACGGAGTTAAAAATATGTCAGTCGATTCGATACGCAAGAGCATGCTCTACGTATTAACAATTTCTAAATTGAGGTAAATTATTGACAAACAAGTTGATGAAACAAGAATAGCAGTAGTCTCGTTTGAAGTCATCATTTCGTAAGTTCTATGGTCGATACTATGACCTTTATCAGCAAATACAATTTATCACTGAATCAAATGCTGACTGACATTTTTCATACTAATTGTTAGTTCATTATATATACATATACACTGAATTGACGCCGGATTTTTCCGTTGTTTCCCAATCATGTTAAGGAGAACCGAGTGTGACCGGTCGGCAGGGGATGCTCTCTCCTCCATGGCACCTGATCCCATCTCTGATGTTTTGAAGGTCTGTGTTTGCTCTGCTCATATTTTGTATGAATACAAAATATGTATGGCCTAGTCAGCAAATACAGTCTGTCATATTGTCAAATGCCAACTGACAGTTTCCATGCTGTTAGGCCATTATTTACAAATTGAATTGTCCGCGCATTTTTTTTTCGTTATTTCCTAATCATGCCAGGGAGCACACGACAAGTGTGACTGGTCGGCAGGAGACGCTCATTCCTCCATGGTACCTTATCCTACCTCTGGAGATTTGGAGGTCCGGGTTTACTCTGATCCTGATTTGTATTGTTTGAATGGATTTTTGATCTTGAATAATGTTCGTTATCTCCATATATTTCATAAGAACAAAACATGCATATCTAGAGACAATATCTAATTGGAATGTACGTGGTACTGTATTTTTCTTCAGATGACTTACAATCCTACTTCTTGGAACTTCAAACCCAGCAGCTTCTCTTCGCTTATGAACGACTATCGCATGTTGAACGGTGATGGTTTTCGCAGCGGGAGAGCATTTAACCGTGTGCCCTCATTCCGTAACCGTACGTACAACATACCGGTAAACATTGAGAGATCTCCCTCGGTACCGGTTCTCAGAACAACGGAACCTTACCGCCCAGACTGGACTTCAACAATACGACCACACACTGACCGGAACACGCCCTTTCCATCGGAACCGAGCTTGCCTGGTAAACGTTTAAATTTTAATTCAATATTTTACAAGACGTCAATTTTTGACGCTTTTTGATGTCTTGATTTTATTATGAATTTCTCAACGATGTTCTTTTTTCTTTTAAATATTAGGTGAGCTACTCACTGTTTCTAATTTTTTCGAATCTTCAGTCTTATATAACCAAAGATATGCAACAAGAAATGTTTGAAACAGAACATTTTTTGATTAAGAAAAATGCTGTTGGTCTTTTTCATGAGGAGGACATTATTTTTGTAAGAGTATCAAATGTAAAGATTTTCGTAACAGTAACAAATGTAAAGAGGACAATTCTAATGTGTAAAGAGAATAATAATTTGACATGAAATACAAAGGTAAAACGGATAGTATCTCGATAAGAGACCAAAAAGTAAAGAAGACAGCGTTCTTCTTATAGGTATAAATGCAAAGAGGAAAACAACTTGAATACCAAATTTTATTTTAGAGAGACACGTAAAGAGAATAATTAAAGGGTATGTCATACCTACAGACCTAAATTTAAAGAGGACTCTATCTGAGAAGAGACACAAATGAAAAGTGGACAACTTACTGATAGACTTAATATACTAAAGAGAAATCTATCCTGATTAGTGATTAAAATTTATAGAGAAACAACTTTATTATATACCTAAATGTAAATACGATAACAGGTGCAAAGAGAACAGTTAATTAGAAAACGTAAAATGAAATGAGGACGCCTTAATTTAGAGGCCTTAATATATAGAAGACAATATCTTAATCAAAGAGTGAAAAAGTAAAGCGTAAAACATCCTTCATCTTTTGAGAACTGAATATAGAATGCAATATCTTATAAGATGATACAAAGTGGATAATATCATTTGTAACATATGGGATTCCTTTCTTTCATTACAGTCGATAGAACTAACGTTAACGTCGATGAATCTGGAGGCGATGACGTCGCAGCTGGTCGTGCTAAGGTCTCCTCCATTGACGTAATGAGCGACGAGAATGGCCGAGCACACCACACGGAGAAATACGATCTTGTCCAGGCTGGGGGTCTGGTAGTGAGGAGGGGACAGACATTCAACCTGGTTCTGCACTTCGACAAAAAGTTTAGTCTCAAGAAAAATACCATCCGACTCGTCTTCAAAGCTGGTTTGTATACATATCCCAACATAGTCTTGATCTCAAGAAAAAAAAACAACTTTGAAAAATAGGTAAGATGAAATAGCAATTAGAATCGTGCAAGTCCATATCTGACAGATATGTGTAGTACAGGGTGTAAAATATATAATATCACATTAGGGCATTCATTTATACAGAACATTATTTTATTATTGTTTTATTTCTTTTATAAGGGCCAAATCCAAAGCCCGGAAAAGGGACGCATGTTCAGTGCTTGCTGCAGTCTGAACGGAGACCAGCTGGTCCCAGCGAATGGACCGCTGTTCTGAAAGGAAGACACAAGGAAAATAGCGCGATTGTCATGGTGACGCCACCAGCAGACTGCATTGTTGCAGAGTGGCGTCTAACGGTGGAAAATATTGTACCCGACGATGTTAAACCACGTGCCCTGAAGTATACTATGAAAAAGAGCATTTTCATTCTCTTTAATCCTTGGTGTAAAGGTATGCATAATCTAATTTATTTACCTACATCGAGATACACTAAATGTCCGAGGGACATGTCTGGTTATTATCAAACTTCGTTATACATTTCTGGATTTCAGAGGACGAGACCTATTTTCCGGACATGAGCAAATTAAACGAATACATTCTTAATGACAGTGGGGTTATCTTTAATGGCGATTCAAAGTACATCGACCAAAAGCCATGGTTCTACGGACAGGTCAGTCACCCGAACCTGTGGTCATCAATTAACTTGATGTTCATTATATTTGAAATTCCCAAAGAAAGCGATTTAATCAATTATACCATTTCAAAAAATAAAACACATTTTTTTTCACAGATATTAAACAACTATTATTCTCTGGGTATATTTTTTTGTTTCAGTTTGAGTCTGATGTACTGGAAGCTTCCTTGATGTGTGTTCAATTAGGATTTGACTCTCGGTTCGGATACGCCATGTCTAACCCAATCCGTGTGTCTAGAATCATATCCAAAATTGTAAGTTAATGCGGTACTTCAAACACCGTATAATTTACACAAGCCCGTTGACTTCAGAACAAATTCTTTGCACTTTTGATTATCTTAGAAAATTAGAAAAGATTACGATAGTACAAACCTTATTTAGTATTTATTAACCATATCGTATGAAGAAATCAATGTTATAGAATGATATCAGTGAAGACATTTGCTAACATTGATATACTCCATAGGGAAGATTACAGCCAATCAATTACTTTCGAATGGTTTTAGGTGAATGTCAATCAGGATAATGGTGTGTTGGTGGGTAACTGGAGTGGCGACTATGGTGGGGGAAAGAACCCGTCCTCTTGGAACGGAAGTGTGGTCATCTTACATCAGTTCCTCCAGTCAAGAAGGCCTGTCAAATGGGGGCAATGCTTCACCTTCGCCGGAGTTGTGACGACCAGTAAGGTCATATTTGATAATATACAAAAGACAGCAGTATTAAAGGATGTTTATACAAGATACAGCGTACCTAAGCATTCATTGTTCTTTGCAGGCGGCCGCAAACTCCTTTTGTATACAGTGATAGAAAACATATCCACACTTTATCCACACTTACATGTATAATGACCTAGAGTAAAGTGAATAGCTTTCAAAATTTCTGTCAGATATCTAACACATCTCATCTAATACAATAGTTTGCCGAGCTCTGGGATTGCCCTGTCGCACTATAACGAACTTTTCCTCCGCTCATGACACAGATGGAAATGTCAAGATAGATATTTATGTAGACGCCAACAGGAGGGAAGTGGTGCCTCCAAATCAGGAAAGGGACAGTATCTGGTAAGAAGGCAAAATTAGGTATGTGGTACCCCAAAATCAGTAAATCAGGGAGTATTCAGTTAGTGACAATCAAGAGGGAGCTAGGTGGTCTCCCTGAATCAGGATAGGGCCAATTTGTGGTAAGTTACAAACATAAGGTGGTACCCCTAAATCATGCTCGAGTCAGTACAACATATCTATATCTGCTAAGTCTCTAACTGGAGGGATGTTGTACCTCTGAATAGGTGGAAGAAAAGTATATGGTAAGTCGGATGGATTGCAGGTGAGTGAAAACAAATCTATCTTACTTAGTCACCAACTGGATGGATGTGGTGTCCCCAAATTAGTAAAGGGAAAGTGTTTAGTAAGATACCAACAGGAAAGAGGTGGTGCACCCAAATTACTGAAGAGGGAGTACTTGATGAGTTTTAGGGTGGACATAATTGGCATATGTCTTTGATGTAATTTACCAAACAGGAATCTCGATATCTTTTTAGTGTTTTGTCCTCATATCTACATACATGTAGCTATAATTGATTTCTACTAGGAATTTACCACAAAAGCAACATGATGCAGCAAAAAGTCTGAGATTTCAAAATAAATGAATAAAATTAAAGAATACAATATTTGAAATTGAGGGGATTTTTAATTAACTCAAAGAGACGAATAATTAAACTTTTGTAAGATCATTAAGTGAGGTCTTATGTATGTAATTACGGCAATGATTACAGGAATTTTCATTGCTGGAACGAAGTTTGGATGGAGAGGCGAGATCTTCCTCCTGGGTATGGCGGGTGGCAGATAATTGACGCTACCCCTCAGGAAGAAAGCTCTGGTAAGGGAAAATGTTTACATAAAATTGTTTCTTTCACAAATTGAGGAGGAAAAAAGAACAAATGATATATGGTTATTTCTCGTTATGGTTATGCACGAAGCATATGGAGATAACGAACAGTATTCAAGAACAAAACTTCATAAAACAATACAAAATAGGAGCAGTGCAAACACGGACCTCCAAAACATCAGATGTGGGATCAGGTGCCATGGAGGAGTGAGCATCCCCTGCCGATCGGTCACATCCGCCGTGTGCTCCTTGTCATGATCGGGAAATAACGGAAAAATCCGTCGTCAATTCAATGTATAAAAAATGGACTTACTATTGGTATGAAAAACGTCAGTCAGCATTCGATTCAATGATAAATTGTATTTGCTGACAAGGTCATTGTATCGACTATAGAACTTACGAAATGATGACTTTAACCGATACTGCTGATATTGTTGTTTCATCAAGTTGTTTGTCAATAATTCACTTCGTTTAAGAAATTGTTCATACGTAGAGCATGCTCTTGTGTATCGAATCAACTGGGATAGATAAACTATGTATGCAAGGTGATGAAGGTATTTTGCTGCATAAGTAAGGGAAGTTGACGATAGAAAAAATAAAGTCTTCACGTTTATCATATAGCTTGGTTGTTAGATTACCATTAACGTCTTTTTCAAGTAAAATATCCAAGTATGAAACAGATGTGTCAGACTATGTGGTATCTTTTCTCTCAAGCTCACCAGCGTATTGAGATAAGATTGGAAATTACCATTGTTAATTGACAATACGTCGTCTATATATCTAAACGTCGAGGTGAAGGCTACAGAAGTGTTTTCTTCCTTTCACGCATAAGACTTTGCACAAATTCTGCTTCATATGAATACAAAAATAGGTCGGCTAATAACGGTGCGCAATTGGTACCCATGGGAATTCCAATAGATTGTTGGAAGACCTGATCCCCAAAAACAACACAGATATTGTCAATCAGAAACTCAAGCATCTTTTTGATTTCAACTTCAGAGTACTTGTGTGTACAATCAGAATTTTTTTAACAAAATAATTTTGCAAATGACCAATAAAAAGTTAAGTAAATATACAAGTACCAATTCTATTGAAAAAGCAGCTGTCAATGATATCGAAAAGCCTGGACATAAATATTATCGATTATCCAGACCTGCCCATATATAGAATATGGTGGCATATTTATGCCATCCACATAACTTTTTGTTAACATAGCATATCATGTCAAATGAAGATAACTATCTCATCAAGTCATGATAACTCTCTGGTTTGCTAACAAACATCGACTTTATATCTTGTCCAGTCAAGATAAGATATAACATTTGTTGCAATAGCTATCTTGACATGACGAGATAACTTATCTTGCATCATGAATACAATAGCTATCGCAAAAATACGATTGTTTATCTTGAAAGTTATCATGACTTGACGAGATAGTTATCTTGACTTGACGCGATATCTCATGTTGACAAAAATTATGTGGGTAGCATAAATATGCCACCATAATAGAAAGACTGAATTGTACTAAACATATTTGCTAAAGTATATATAAGCTATATTTATTCTAAACCGACATGTCTTGACTTGACGCGATATCTCATGTTGACAAAAATTATGTGGGTAGCATAAATATGCCACCATAATAGAAAGACTGAATTGTACTAAACATATTTGCTAAAGTATATATAAGCTATATTTATTCTAAACCGACATGTATTATTACAATTATGATATGGTACTACAGACTTTCATTTTGTATGCAGGACACCTTCTCATTTCTCTTTCCCTGGAAACAGAGATCAGGGATGAGTGTTAGGTGTTCTGTATGGGTAGTCAGTGGCTTTTTATTGTACTCCACAAGTAAGGATTCAAAAACTTAATTAAGGTTTCAACCAGTGTGGTCCAGCCTCCCTTAAAGCTATAAAAGAAGGCAGATGCGAGCTGCTATATGATACACCGTTTGTGTTTGCGGAGGTGAATGCTGATAAAGTGGTTTGGGCCCGCGGAGAGGGCGGTAAATGGTCCATTATTTCATTAGACCCAGCAGCGTAAGTATAACAAATAATCTTATGATATTTGATTAACATACTGTATAGTTCATATTAATTTAATGCTTATATTCTCATATGCTTTTCACTGAATTAGAATAGGTAAGAATATCAGTACCAAAGTTCCTGATGGACTTCCCCTTAGAGGACGTGGATCTAGAATTCGCGAGGACATCACAAATGATTACAAATATCCAGACGGTACAGCACTTATCTAAGTTTGATGCCATAATATAATGTTAGAGCTACTTTTTAATCGTTGTATCTTCTCATCAAACTCTTTAGATGATGATTTTTTTTCTACTAATAAATGAACACTACTTTTGGCAATAGAGGGTTAGGATAGTTCATTTACAGTAAAAAGTAAATAAAAAGAGTTAATGCAAAGAATTTGAGATTGTTAAACTTTATAAATCGTTCCCCAAAATGTTTGCAAACCCAGCTAGAGAATTTTCATTGTGCTCACAAAAATCATACTTCAGCGTCAGCTCGGGAGAGACTTGCGGTGAAGAAGGCAAGCCGTTCTCGTAATAGTAGTGCACCCTACATCAATGAAAACAAAGTGGTAAGAAAATAAAAGCGGAAAACATTTGAATTCAGGCTCAACAGGGAAGATATGAAGATACGCTAAGTCAATTATATTACAATTGCAAGATGTAGGGCTATATGCCATACATGTAATGACGTGTTTCTTATTATAAAGATGTTGTTGACCACCAACACGAACCAAAAATTGTAGCTCATATGTTTACTAATAAATGAAGAGTTCGACTTACATTTCTAACCCATTTATAATGCTAGTATTTGCTTGAAAAATCCTTTTTCAGGAGGACGTCCGATTTCACGGTTTTGTGGACAGAAATTATGTTAACCTTGGACAGGACTTTGTCGTGAGTTTTTCGTTTACCAACACCGGAACACAAAACAGGACAGTCACGGCTAAGATGGTCTGCGAGGCCGTCTTGTATACTGGGCGGCGGCACCAAAAAATCAAAGAACAGTCATATCAGATACCTGTTTCACCTTCTTCAAGTAAGTTACAATATAACTAGAAAAAAATATACGCTATGTCTTACTTGGATCGTATAATAATGAAACTAGTGCTTTAAATTTGACTACCAGTGGTAGTCAATTGAAAAAAACCCAGTGTATTCCTTAGCTTTTTAGCAGTAGATAAAACTGAACTTTTTTCTTTACCGATAAACTGAATTTACAGATGGAGAAATGTCAATGGAAATCTCCGCCTCAGACTACATGGACAAGATTACAGAAAACGTTGACCTCAAAGTTTCCATTGTGGCGGAGGTTCAGGAGACGGGTCAAATTGTCTCCTGGGAAGACGACTTCAGGCTCCTTAAACCGGCAATGGACATCGAGGTTGATACTATCATTCAAATATTTTCAAGTATTCATGATGTTTTTGTTACATGTTCTCTATTTGCAGTAAAAGTTTTGATGTTGCAGGTACTCTCACCATCTGTTGAAGTTAACAAGCCGTTCCAGTGTCAGTTAAGGTTCCGGAACCCACTGAATACAATTCTGAGGAACTGTTCTATTAGTGTCGATGGACCTGGAATTGATGGAGAATTTGATCAAAGAATCAGGTAACCTACCCTTCAGTAGATTTTTTTTCCGACCGTCAGGATGAAATAAAGATGAGGATCATTATTTTCCGATTTTTTAAAAGATGTTTTTATTGTAAGCTCTAATTATTGTCAACTTTATTTTCATACTAAATTTACTTATCATTTACTTAAAGTCTTAAGCGTTTGACATATGTCATTTGAAATTATAGCGATGTAGCACCGAGAACCGAATGGGTGGCGGAAATGACGATGACCCCTAGGACACCAGGCAGGAAACAAATAACCGTTACCTTCAACAGCGACCAAATCGACGATATCAACGGAACAGCTGATGTTTTGGTGTCTACAAGAAGTCATAAACATGGATATATGTTTGATTGTTTAAACTAGAAAAAATCCTGACAAAGTTGCATAATACAAAACTTTTGTTTGCAGGATCTACAATCAAGATATTTTTCGTATATTTTTCGTGTGATATTAAGTTCAAGATCTAGTAAATGAAAGGTGCCTACAGAATTATCAAATTTGAGAAATAAATTCCTTTATTGATGCTTTACAACTTTAGCTTGGTCAAATAAGGTGTTTCGGGGCATAATTTGTAGGTAAACAAGATGAAAAACTGTATTTTAAAGTGTCATTTTGAATGAAAAATTAAGAAAACCAGTCATGAATATGGGAGTTTTTTTCATATTCGACAAAGGAAATGTATCCAGATTGCCTACAGTCTCTCAGAAAACGGTAATTAGTATGTTCATATGCTCTTCTTTAAATCAATGTCAAATTTAATATAGGTATCCGGTTTACTTTTCATATGATTTCAAATTGAATGTCACATAAATACCATATTTTCTACATAATTCTGCTAAAGCCGTAAAGTACAGGAAAAAGAAAGTTAAAATTGATTATGACGTCATAATGGATCTAGCACCAAAAAATTAGTCAAAAGTTATTTAGTAGATCTTGACCTTAAGATTTAATTAAAAAAAAAATTCTTCTGCATTTTCCCCATACATTAGAATATTCACAGAATTATACAGCTGTATATTGATTTGATCTTTACTGGGATTGTAAGCTTCAACATACTCATTGAGTGGTGTAAATAAATTCTCAAAAACTGCAAAGAACTATTTGTAAAAAAAATCACAAAATAAAAAAAAAACAATGCATAGAAACCTCTAGCATTTAAAGGATTTTAAAAACGTTCTAAAACTATTCCTCACGATAAGTTTAATACTAGGTTATTTAAAATCATGAAGGCTGATTCTTACATGAAAATTTACTCGTAAATATCCTCTCTTTACTCTTCTTCAATCTTCAGTTGATGAAAAATTTTGAGTTTCTGATTGACAATATTTATGTGGTTTTTTGGAGAGCAAGTCTGCCAGCAATTTATTGGAATTTCCATGGGTACCAATTGCGTTCCGTTATTAGCAGACCTATCATGTATTCCTATGAATTAAGCAGACTTTGTACTAAATCTTATTCGAGAAAAGAAGAAAACACTTGCTGTGGCCTTCAACTCGACATTTAGATATATCGACGACATAGTGTCAATTAACAATGGTTACATGTATTTCCATTCTTATGTCGATATGATATATCCCGGTGAAGTTGAGATAGAAGATACCACAGAGTCTGACACATCTGTTTCATATTTGGATATTTTACTTGTAAAAACGTTATGGTAATCTCAGTAACAGCCAAGCTCTATGATATGACTTTAATTTTCAATCGTCAACTTCCCTTACTTATGCATCAAAATACCTTCATCAACTGCATATGAAGTTTATATCTCTCAGTTGATTTGATACGCAAGAGCATGCTCTACGTATGTACAATTTCTAAAACGTGGTAAATTATTGACAAACAAGTTGACAAAACAAGAATATCAGCTGTCTCGTTTAAAGTCATTATTTTGTAAGTTCTATTGTCGATACAATGACCTTGTCAGCAAATACAATTTATCATTGAGTCTAATATTGAATGATGTTTTTCCTACCAATTGTTAGTCCATTATTTACACACTGAATTGACGACAGATTTTTCCGTTATATCCCGATCATGACAAGGAGCACACGGCAGGTGTGACCGGTCGGCAAGTGATATTCACTCATGGCACCTGATCCCACCTCTGATGTTTTGGAGGTCCGTGTTGCTCTGCTCCTATTTTGATTTGTTCTATGGACCTTTGATCTTGAATACTGTTTGTTATATCCATATTTTTCATTTGATTGTGACAAGGTCTGTCAATAATTTGTAGAAGGTGCAAAATGTTCCTTTTTATCCGACTTGTTTTTTTTTAATAAACATTATCTATTTTTTTATAAACATAATCTATTTTTTTAAATCCAAAAATTGAGATCATTGGAACATTTTGATCACACACCCAAACACTCTGTAGAAGTTATTTGAAAAAAGATGCTTCAATTCCCGATTGACAGTATCTGTGTCTGTTTTTAGAGACCAGGTCTTCCAACAATCTGTCGGAATTGCCAGAATACCTATTGTACCCTGTTATTAGCGGACCAATTTTGGTATTCGTACGAAACAAAGTTATTTCAAATCTTCTACATTTGCAAATGATTGTTGTAAGGATTAAAATGAAAACAGTAAAAGTACAATCAACACCATTTTTTATTTACTCTTGCAAATCTTGAGTTTAAAACTGATATTGCGTATCTGATAAATAATTCTAACCATTGAGAAGGAGTGCATTGTACTTCATATCTGAAACCACCTTACCCAACTTTCAGGGATAAAGGTACTCAAAACATTGTTTGTTGGCATATCTTTATCGATTTTCTAAATTTGTCTTTTAATTTTACAGTGTATTTTCAAATAATACAAATTCATGTACATATAACATTAAAGTTTTCAAAAGAGATAATTTTTGTCACATGGATTTAGAAATGTTTTGAATTTTTCAAAAAGATATTTTGACATCTTGGGCATTTTTTTTTCATTTTTTTCCTACTGTGGGATTGGATCTAGTAAAAGAAATGATTAGCCATTCGAACTCCCAGCTCTCACTTCGAAAGGGCGAGTTACGCTAAGCTAGACTTAACCTTTATTATTCATCACAAGTATAGATCCTCCAACATATGAAAGATGTCAAACGGAAATAATATAACTTTTATTGATATTTTAGAATAATAATTTTTAGAAAGAGCAAAATAAGAATTTGTCATTTTAAAAATTTGAATTTACCGAGTGGCAGTACCGGTAAATTCAAAATTTACAACACGACAAATGATGATTTGAAGTGACATTTTGTTTTCAAAGCCAAGGAAATGAGTACTTTATTTACCTATTTTTACAAGATTATTCAAATGTATGCCATAATATAGGTATTATAAAGCTTAGCATAACGCCCTCGGGTTTGAAAATTGGACTCAGCAATCTTAGCATATTATGTTTAAAGCCTACGGAGAACATGACATTCTGGACTGACGCCCGTAGGCTTTACATTGACAGTTTTTGTACTCTTTTCCTCGAATCATAGCCGGAAATCCGCGCTCCCCTTGCTGCCTGCAGTTGTCATTTTTATCTTTACATACTGGAAAAGAACAAGAAATGTCTAAATTACCTTTCTATCAGATTGTTATCAAAACCGATCATTTGTGTTTTTGAATTAATTCCTCACAATATAGTATGCATCCATTAGTTTCTTCTTTTAGTCATTAATAATGTACATTGATAACTAGTAAAGACGCTTATTTTTATCTTAATGTTCAATGGTTATCATAGTCTGACATAAACTTACGTATTTTAAGTGAAGATGTTCTATAAATCCCGCCTGTGTATTCACACTTTAGACGGAGACAGATTTTGTGAGGCTGATATAAGTGGTCCCACTCTTCACCGACATCTCGGCAGTTACCATCTAGATCTTTACACGCTGGAATGATGCATATACAGTGGATCTTTTTCTTTCCACTTTTAGGAAAGTTTTAGGCTTTAATTTGCACGAAGTAAAAAAGGTTTTGCAGAAACTTTATGACCATTATGAATAATTTTGTACATGAAGATTTACATGTATATAAATCATATTGACTGCTTCATTATCATTAAAGCCAAGGGCATGTTTCATAACGTAGAACGGTATCTTGAACAAATATTTGATTAATGAACATATAGAAGTGTTTTTTAGCTAAAGTATGGTTACTCCTGTAACGAAAAGAAACATGGTGTCTCACCTCCTTTAAGCAGGTTGTAAACAGGGCGATCTGATTTTTTGTCCAAAACGCAACCATAATTTAAACATTTGTTTCTCATCTCTTTGAACCCAACCTCCAAACACTTGCCATTTACATTACAGCCTGAAAGAGACAAAAGACATAGCAAAACACATTTAAATGTAAAATATCTTTTGGTTGAGTTGATTTATACAAAGACATGTTGAAAAGTTTAAGATACATGTCTTTCATTTTGGCAACAAAATATTTGAGAAATGGAGTTCATCAAAAGTGGAAACTTAAATTAAAAATCCAGAACACTTTTAATATTCCTCAACTTCTTTTCAAATCAGTATCAAATAAACGGTCAACTTCATTCAACCATTCACTTCGATAGAATAAAGAGCTGATTTTTTTATATCAACAACTGCTTCTTCAACAAAAAAATAATTTTAAAATCTTTGTTTCTATATGGTGTTCCTAATTGACAGTATCTGAATGTAGTCTTCTAGTATGTTGCTCTGGAATTCCAACGCTCCCTTGAACTCTCATTGGAGCAAAGTGTACAGCCTTTTTAAAAGCCGAAGTTTTATTTTTACGATTTTTTTTTCAACAATCAGTATGAAAAAAGTAGGCATTTGACTTAATATCGTAATAAAAATTGTATTTGCTGAGAAGTTCATAGTATCGAACAAAGAACTAACGGATTGATTAATAAACGAAGCTCACGTGAAATGGATATCAACAAATGCAATTTGATTTGATATTACTTAATATTTTGATCTGAAAATGCTTTGTTTTAGATTAACCATATTACAACTTGACTCATATTGACAATGTAATGCAAATGTGTAAAGCATACCTTGAGTAAACATTATGGTTATACCTCTTAATTTCGCCGTCACGGATCGGGAGAAGCCCTTGTTTGATCTATTAACAACACATTGTCTCTCCAGACAGCCCGAGTCCCATTTTTCTCCAGGACTGTAGCAAATTCCGCCTACTTTACATCCTAAAGGTAAGATGCATGGACAAAAACCCCATGTCAAAAATCATTTTAGTTGGATTATTAGATTAAAAAAAGGAAAAAAAAACTTTTTGAAATAAAAATGTTCTTATCATGCAAATGCTTTAAGTGAAAAGTTAAGAAAAAAGTTGCCAAGAATTTTACCGACGCCAATAATTTGAATTTGAGGGTATGTTCGGCCATTTTGGATTTTTAAGCGACAACCGTAAGTAATGCAATTTTCCGGACTTGTCCAGTTTCCTCCGTCTTCTCTACATTTATCTTTATCCAAACATCCTGAAATAATTGAATTTACCTAATTATTCTCAACTGAAAAAAGCTCAAAACTTTGTTTTGATAGAATGTTTCGATTGAAAAAAAAAAACGGTTAACGTTCATCATAACTCTTTTACAATCACTGACATCTTAATCACAGTGTTTTAACATTGAAACTCCTCCACATGGATCAGGAAGGTTTTGATATTATTGACCTTGTGAAAAAACCTAAACATTCTTATTGAATCAAAAGTACATTTTAAGGAGGAACATAGTGTATGCTTTTAACAATATTTCAAAATGAAGTTATTTTACTACTTTGAATGATCACATGAAAACAAAAATTGCAAAACAACAATGAACAATATACATGTACATGTATGTTTCAAAGGAATATAGGGTGAAATTACTTTTACCCTTATCTAAGAACATTCATTCAGTATGTGCAAATCTATGTCTATATTTGCTTCCCATACCTGTAGCAACATTTTCCAGCCGCGACATACCATTCTTAGACACACACTTCAATTTGTTACAATTTTGACCCTCACCATAGCTCCCAACTGCAATGCAATTTCCTTGAGGATCCCTGCAATCTAGAACGTTTATTTCATTATGCAATTGTATCAGAAAAAAATATTCATAAACAATAAAAAAAAATGGAGAAAGGACAAAAGTTTAGCGAAATAATTTTTTTGGGGGTTATTAGAAAGAGAATAGTGTTTTGCATAATGAGAAACTTCATATTTGTTTTCTCATCACGATTTTGATCCATTGTGAAAGTTTAAATACCTTGACTGTAAACAGCCATCTCCGAACGCCTGTATTGTCCCTTCTGAGATACACGACAGATATAGTGGGTACACTGATATTGTCGTATCTCACTCTCATTCACACAGCTGTCTCTCCACTTACATCCTGCAAAACCATCACATTGTTCTATAACGTATAAACATAGAGCGTCTTCTGAGGTCTGTTAAATAATATTGCAAGGTAGAATGAAACATATGGAGATAACGAACAGTATTCAAGATCAAAAGTCCATAAAACAATATAAAATTCATGTAGGAGCAGAGCAAAACGGACTTCCAAAACATCAGAGATGGGATCAGGTGCCATGGAGGAGTGAGCATCCCCTGCTGACCGGTCACACCCGCTGTGTGCTCCTTGTCATGATCGGGAAATAACGAGAAAATTCGTCGTCAATTCAGTGTATAAATAATGGACTAACAATAAGTATGAAACACGTCAGTCAGCATTTGACTCAATGATAAATTGTATTTGTTGACAAGGTCATTGTTTCGACTATAGAACTTACGAAATGATGACTTTAAATGAGACTCCTGAAATTCTTGTTTCATCAACTTGTTTGTCAATAATTTACCTCGTTTAAGAAATTGTTCATACGTAGAGCATGCTCTTGCGTATCGAATCAAGTGAGAGATATAAACTTCGTATGCAGGAGATGAAGGTATATTGCTGCACAAGTAAGGAAAATTGACGATTTTAAAGTTAACATCATCACTTTTATTCTAGAGCTTGGTTGTTAGATTACCATTAACGTCTTTTTCAAGTAAATGTCCAAGTATTAAACAGATGTGTCAAACTCTATCCTTTATCTCAAGCTTACCGGGATATATTGTATCGACATAAGAATGGAAGTTACCATTGTTAATTGACAACACGTCGTCAATATATCTAAATGTCGAGTTAGAGGCCATGGTAAGTGTTTTTTTTTTACGTACATGTATTAGATTTTGGACAAATTCTGCTTCATATAAATACAAAAATAGGTCTGCTAATAACGGGACTCAATTGGTACCCATGGGAATAGATTGTTGGGAGACCTGGTCTCCAAAAACTACAAAGATATTGTTAATCAGAAACTCAAGCATCTTTTTGATGTCAACTTCAGAGTACGTGTGTGTACAATCGGAATGTATTTAACGAAATAATTTTGCAAATGACTAATGACAAGGTAAGTAAATTTACGAGTTTAGCATCTTTGGTAAGAGTTCTTTTCCAGTCGATTATGTTGCAGAATGAAATTTATTTGTTATTCTGTATGAAGTTGTCCCTTAGTTTGCTTGTATGGCAAAGAATGATCACAAGTCTTTCATGTATATCATAAGACATAAATCATATTTAAAAGTTAAATACTTGCAAATAATATGGGTGAAGTGCAGTGGTAACGAGGTGAAGTGCAATGGTAACAAAGAGGTCTTCACTGATTTATGAACGGAATTCTACATAAATTGAGGACGTTTGATTTGAGGCGGGGAAAAGAAGAGGAACAGAGAATACAGCATTTGAATAATAATAGAAAAAATTAAACAAGATTTAAAAATATACCGGTATGTTTCAATTCAACGTTTAAATATATTATATGGAGTGAAAAAACACAAGAAAACAGAACAAGGTAAGAATTACCAAACTTTACAATATCACTTCCTGAGCTATGGACATCTCCGTTTTTTCTCCAATAACACCGCTTGACAGAACATCCATCTCTGTATGTAGAGTTGACAGGTACACACAATCCGTTCACCCTGCAGTCTGAAAAGAGGCGTTACTGGTCAGGTTCACAAAAACTGATATGTATGTAGGAGAGAGAGAGAGAGAGAGAGAGAGAGAGAGAGAGAGAGTTACCGGCATGTATGACATCCATCATGACTGTGTTTCGGCCCCTGTCAACTTTACATTGTCTCTTTACACATTTTGCGCTCATTATCTCCCCTTCCTTGTAACATTTCCCATTCAACTTGCAAGCTGTAGAAGTTTTTGTACTTGTAATAAGAGGTAAGTTTAATGATAGATAAATTAATCGAAGACAGCTTTTCGTTTTATATTTAACGCTGCAATTATTTGGTAATCAGAAATAAATTAATAACAAATACCGTATGTCTTTATTTTCGTCCTTATTTTCGCACTTCCTTTCTGGTCAGCCTCCATACTGCATTTCATCACGTGACAATATTTGCTAGTCCACGTGCTGTTCGCGTCATGACATTCTCCTCCTTCATTACACCCTAAAAGAATAATTTTTTGGATTAAATGATCGCTTTTATTCCTTTCAAATTTTATCAAAATTGTCCACGGGAAGTAAAACATAAAGTCATTCTAATTTCAAGAGAAATCTTATACATCGCGTGTGATCGGTCGGCAGAGGATGTTCACTCCTCAATGTCACCTGATCCCACCATTTTTATAGAGGTCTAAGTTTACTCTGCTCCTGATTTGTATTGTTTTAATGGTTTTATGAGCTTGGATACTGTGAGTTATCTCCATATTTCATAAATAATTAAAGTAAAAGTCAGTTAAATTACATAACTGAAAAATACATATGTCAGTGGGTGTGACTTTGCTTATAATTGTATAATAGTACCTCCTTTGTAGAAATCTAGACCACAGTTTGATGAATGTCTCTCACAGCGGTATGTTATACAGTTCAGCGTCTTCGTTGTGTTGATAGCTAAACATCCACCCATACCGTCACTGCAACCTAAACAATATAATTAAGCACGTATTGATAAGTCCTTCTAACAAATAGTTTTTACTTACATCACCAATTTGCATCTTCCCATCAGTGACTTGCTGATTTGCATACTGTTTGATACGAAAATACATCAATGCAGTTTCTTTTCATTGTAATTGTAAGATAAGAATATGTATGTTTTGAACCCATTGGCCAGTTAACAGCTTGGAATATTCGCCTCATTTGATCTTTATAATATATCTTGTAGGAAATATATTTTGTCGTTTTTACACGAATGCATTCTAACGAAAAGAAAGCTTAGGATAAGAGATATTTATATTACTACAAAACCTTACTTTATGATGCATAATACACACACACACACAGATAGTTTTAATTGATTTTGAATTAAATGACATAAAAATCACTTTAATAGTCTTTGCTGTTAAAAGTTGCGATTTTGTGACATTTTCTCATAAATCTATATAGAAATTATGCAACATGTCTTTTGCTATAATAACAAAATCATACAAAATTTCCACATTACTCCTTGCCATATGCTAAGAATTAGTCTTGTTGATTTCATGGAATCATAGAAATTTGTTGTTGATATCAGAGGTAAAGCCTTTTAAAGGAAACTGCATGGTAATTATATTTTTATATATGCTCCAAAAAAGCTACATAAAAGAACGCACATTTTAAAATACATCATCGACATATCATCTTACTCGTGTTCATCATCTGTTGGCATGCATAGCCTGCAACTTGTAAATCAAACATAATTTACTGGGACTAAAATCAACACCACACCTTAGATAGTGTGAATTGGCAATTTACCTGCACGGACAAGCTTGTAATAAGGCCTTTGAACTTGAGGATGTAATCGGCATTGTAATTCATAACAACCGCGTCTCTTGCTGAATCCGAGTCCTCTGCACTTATTGCCATCTACACAACCTAATCAAATAATCAGGAAAAAAATCTTATGGAGTTATAATTATATCTAATGTTTTTGCACATAACTCTTGTTATTTCGGCTTTGGGTGAAATGTTATCTCGATTAAAGTCTTCATTTCGCAAGTTCTATGGTCAAATGACCTTGTCAAGATCAGCAAATACTATATAATTAAGTCAAATGCTGATGAACGATTTTATACTAATTGATAGGTTATATACACAATGAAATGTCTACAGTTTTTTCCATTATTTTCCAATCATGACAAGGAGCAAACGGCTTCTGTAACCGGTCGGAATGGGATGTTCACTTCTTGATGGCACCTGATCACGCCCCTAATCTTTTAGAGGTTCGTGTTTGCTTTGGTCCTGATTTTTATTATTTGAATGGACTTTTGTATGGGCAGCGGAAAGGGCATAAATTACCATAATGTGAAAACAAACAATTATTTTAATTTCAATGACCATAAAAACTTAACAAATGATATACAATGCATAATCAACAGACGTTTTCGCACAACAAATATACATTAAAGCAAAACCAACGACCAAGTAGGTAACAAACATATATGAATGCAAAACCAACAATCATCTTTGCAGTACAAACGTACATAAAACACGACAAGCAAAAAAAAACTTAACAAACGTGCAAGCGGTAAATCTAGTCTTCCCGACTCCCGACGGTCCCGGTTTTTGTTTTTTGTTGCTTTTTTTTTCTTGGGGATTTCCCTTTTGTCGGCGCACAGAAACTTTTCACACTTCTCAGGGCTGAGGCACATTTCTAGGTTTCAAAAATCATTAAATTTAATACATGTATATATAAAAACTTTAACAAGTTTGCGTCCGCAGTATCAACTGTCAAAAAGCGGTAAATCTAGTACTCAGCTATAAATGCGAAAACCACTGAAAAAAAGGATACCGATTTTTTCGTAGAATTGCGATTAAAAACAACTAACTGGTGTATATATATCTTTTTTAATAAATGAAAACCCTCATTTGCATGCAAAATAATTTGTATGCACAAAAATTCCCCCCACTTTTTTTTCGTATAGAACTCTTGGCTTCATCATGTTTATGTTCCCACGCTCTACACCATGGACTTGGTTCTTCCTCGGATCCCCCTTTAATTTTTTCTTTTTTTGGGTGGAGAGGGGATAATTTATCCTTAAAATTTCAAATAAAAGAAAAGAATTTACATAAAATGAAAATAAAATCTCATTCTCCTGAATGCCGTTTCGTCATTTTTTATTTTGTTGTTGTTACATAAATTGGTTCTCTCCAGTTCTTTAAATATAACAAGAATCTACATTACAGTGACATATTATATGACAGGCACGTAGCAACATTTCCCAATATTAAGAAAAGGGTAAAAAAAAAGGGGGCGTTATGTAGTATACGTATTAGGAAGAAAAGTTGGTACTGAAAGAAGTTGAACCGACACCCCCCCCCCCCCACACACACACACACACACCCTCGCCCACGAAATAGGATTTCGAGTTTGGGCTACTTCACTTTAATTTCCTTTTTGTTTATATCTTCTCAATATCAATATTTTTAATATCTTTAAAGATACATGGACACAGATTTGAAGTTAATTTCATTTCATCTTCAAGTTATTGAAACAAGATTGCCACTTTTCTTAAGTATTAAGAATAGAATTAAAATTTGCGAGAGTGCAAGGATGTGTCAATCAAACCCGTCTAAAAGTTTGAAGTTTTAATAACTTTTAGATGAAATAAGATTTTTAATATATTTTTGTATGAAATGCTATTACAATATATAAGAAAATATTAACTCCAAATCTGTGTCTATGCAACTTTACTTTCTACGTCTCTCTGTATCGATGTATAAAGGAGAACTACCGATTACATTTACCGCTTTTGGCAGATGATACTGCTGATTCAGTAATAAATACGCAAAGTTGTTTAAGTTTTTATATATTATTGAATTCATTTAAAAAGGAAATATGCCTGAGAAGTTTGAAGAGCACCGACAAAATAGAAATCGCCCCCCTCAAAAAAACTGGGAGTGCCGGGAGTCGGGAAGACTAGATTTACCGCGTGCACGTTTGTTTAGTTTTTTTCGCTTGTCGTGTTTTATGTACGTTTGTACTGCAAAGTTGCTTGTTGGTTTTGCATTCATATATGTCACTGTATACAAAGTGCTAATCGAAAATCTACTTGATTTGGATCACTAGCTATATTTGTTTGGGTCATTCGAAGTTTCTGTCTGCACATTTAGACAAAAAATGTGCTTTTATATACGTTTTCGTACTGATAATGAAACTACTTCAAACAATATGAGACTTTTTCTAGGTATATTTAAAGATAATCATGTTTTTGTTTCATCTACCCCTCCATAAACATCGGTAGCACGCGTTTTTCACGCATCTAATGGTCATTTTTCGACTAATCATCCTCTGAAATAGACTGTTGACATTATTTCAATAAAACATTTATTGTGATGTTTAATATGAATCTTTATCAAACGTAAGCTATCAAATTCGACCACAAGGTCTTCTTTATAACCTGGCAATTACATCAAATATGCACCTACCCAACTTTTCCAGAGCTATATTATGTTTGCGTAGAAAATATCCAGAAAGCTATCTTTGTTGTCATGACAGCTATACTTTTTTCGAGCATACATATAGCATTTAGGCCTAGTGCAATTAGTAAAATAATTTATTGACGTTACTTTGTGTTTACAACAGTACTGTACAATATTTTCTTCCTAAGACTCCTCTTACATTTCAACCTTATAGAAAAAGTAGTGTGGCCTCTTGGTAAGTTACTTAGGAGAGTACAAACACACAGGCACCTGACGTTACTTATTTTTCTTTTAATGAAATAAATTATACCCCTATCTATAACATTTCGAAACTTTCGTGACAGTATCTTTTTTGATTTCTAATGGAAGCAACTGTAATGACGTTTTTATTTATATATTTAGTTCCAATTTTTCATTCCGGAATAAAGGATTGCTCAAGCAAAAATTTCCTCGGGAAACGGGAAACGGGAGGGGGTTACATTGTTGTCCATAACACTAAAAGATCCCAACACAAAAATCCTATTTTATGGTTGGGGGTGGGGTCGGCTTAATTGGTGGACAAGCTACATTCTGCCATATATATTCTCATTTTTCCTATCAACTTATGACAGTCATTCATCAACAAAAACATACCAAATTAAGAATTTCCATGTTGCTCACCAATTTACATGTAATATTGTAAAATTTTAAAGATCGATTTCAACTCTTAGACTTTACATATACACATGGTTTTGTAAATATTTAGTGGTATATATATGCATTCAAAGTTTTGATTTGATAATTTAATGATTAATTAAAACGCATTCAACTTCAAATCTTAAAGCCGCTTCGTTCATTTTCTAAATTTCAATTCAGCCAAATAAGCGTTAAGAAGAGATTGCATGAAATATTTAAAAAAATCATGTAATAAAAAGAAAACAACTGGTTACCACATTTCTCAAAGAAATGCATGGATCTTTTTTCATAGAAATCATAACATATTTCTGAAAATCTGTGAACTTCTGTAACTATATTCTTTTATCATAGACTGACTGTTAAGAGTTTGCGTTTCTTAGGGAGGGGGGGGGGGGCAAAGTTATTTTGATATGGTTACTTTAATATTCTTAAATTTTAGTGAATTTGAAAAAATTATCAGGTCTTGATCCCCTAACCTTTATCCGCTTTTCTGGATATGTCTATGGGGATATAATGCCAAATTTTAATTAAACTTTTATCGTCATAGATTCTGTTTCAGATTTTTAGTTTTAAGTTCTGATGTCTGATGATAGTTTGAAAATAGGTGAAATATTACAAAAGTTGCATTATAATCTCTTTATCATAGATTTATAAAAGAGAGAAAAAAGAGTGTACAAGGCGAGGACAATCACCCGCTCTATGACGGAAAAGTTTTATTTTTCTAAAATTATCTTGTCGGTAATGTCATCTTCAACATATTAGAATCATATATTGTTCTGAAAGACATATTGATTGAAAATTGTTCTTAGACTTAATTAGTCGAAAATGGGTATTATACGTTTATATTAAATGATTCTAGCTATAAAGATTTATTTTTGAATATGAACGGACCAGGTTTCTATTCGAAGTATTGTGTTTAAATTACGGAAAAGTAAATGCATTGTGTTTTTTTAATGGCGTCTGAACCCATTCTATCTAAAAATTGAATATTTCTGAAATGAAAAAAAAAATGAGGATAATGAACATTGATTTATGTCGAAAAATATACAAACAATACAAACATGTGGGCAGGGAATAAATACGGACCCCCCCACCCCCGGAATACCAGAGATCCAGAGATTGAAACGGGTGCCTGGAGGAGTAAGCATCCCTTGTTGATCTGTCACACACGCTGTCAGCCCTATGTATTGATCAAGTGAATGGAACATTTCGTAATCAAATTTAGTATAAAAACAAAGGTCTAACAGTTGGGTGAGAGGAGTAAGCCAAAAAAAACAAAAACGACCCTAGATAAATTATATGATACGTTGAAAAACCTTATTTGTCTCAACAAATTCGTTTCTTTTTAAGCAAACTGACACACAAACAACAAGAAGACACTGTAGCATATTGTGGTTAACGCATTCAGTCTTACGCCTATCATGAGCTTTGGAAAAAATTCGATTAGTTTGTGAATCCCTTTTTTCCGTTTTACATACCTTTAAAACATAAGTAAAAATATATTACGTGTATTTATCAATAAGTTATTTTATGACATAAACTTGAGACAGTGTCTTTTGATTATACTCCCCCTATATAGGCCTTCATTCTTCAAGAAGTATTCTACTCAAATCAAACATAGCATTTCTGTATCAATCGTGACAAAACGCAAATCAAGTATCGCACAAACACCAGCAATGATGGCACATTTCATCAAATTCTATATTTATTTATTTCTGTTTCACTTCTTTCGACTTATAAATGTTTCTCTTGTAATAATAAATGCCAATACCTTTTTTAAAATGTTTAAATTGCGATAATTTTATCAAAAAACAATAAATCTTAATTTCATGCAAATCACAAAAAGGATCCGAAAAAAGTATAGCCATCGCAAAAATATGTTGCAAACATAGTATAGCATTCACTCAAAACAAGAATAGCCCAATTTCTCTAAAAACGTAATTTATAGAAATCAGATGATGTTTCGTGGGTGAATTGAGCCGAAAACTTAGATACAATAACTTTTACAACAGAATATAGTTTGAAAAAATTAAGAACAATTGAAATAATTCAAAATGAGCGAAAATCCCATTTTAACTTGGTAAATGAGAATGGTATCGAATTTCTAACTTGTTTCAACTTAAAAAATTTCTCAAATAAATTTACATTGATTCTATAAAGGTTTAATAAGTTGTCTAATTTCTTAAAGTTACTTTTACCCATATTTTGCCTGCAGAATTTTCTTTTTTACCCATAATGCATCAGAGTACCCAAAGCAATATAGCAAGTGATCCAAATCAAGTAGATTTTCGATTAGCACTTTGTATACAGTGTATGTTTGTAACGTACGTGGTCGTTGGTTTTGCTTTAATGTATATTTGTTGTTCGAAAACGTCTTTTGATTATGCATTGTATATCACTTGTTAAGTTTTTATGGTCATTGAAATTAAATTATTTATTTGTTTTCTCATTATGGTAATTTTAGCGCTTTCCGCTGCCCATACTTTTGGTCTTGAATAATGTTCATTATAATTCATTTAATGTTGAGTCCTACCTTGGTGTAGCTTTTTAACAAAGTACTCCGGATAAGATCCGCTCCTTTGTTTTGTACATGTGTACTGGATACACATGCTGCCTTTATTCTCTGTCCAAATAGTGTTTTCAGGTATACATTTGTTGTTCCATGCGCAACCTGTATTTATAAAAGTGAAACAAATTTCAACAAAACACCAGTAGCACGGCACGAACTGTATACTGCGGTATTCAGTTTTGAATATTTTATAATATTTGATGAGATTTCATTACCTCCCTTTAAGACCTCAAGGTATCGCATGTTCTTTTGATATGATTTGCAGAGGTGCCATACACAATTCTTCTTTACCTTTTCTCCTAGTTTTATCATGTTTCCATTTTCATCTTCACAGCCTAAAATGTTCCATACAAAAGTTAAAAAACTATTGAGGCTGATGTACAAAAATACTGATATGTCACCCATTTTTCACAAGATCGAGTTTTTATCGTCGATAATCGATATTTTCTCATATGATAAAAATGAACCCTTCAAAATATTATCTCTATTATAAAAAACAAAACAAAAAACGTCATAAACCATTAGACTCTGAATAAAACAATACGTAAGCTATTATTCCAAGAAATGACAATGCATGTACTACACAAAATATAGATAGGAAAACGTGCATACATAGATTTTAATATATCGTAAAGTTATCTTGATATTATATGTTCTATCATAAGGCTAGATGGAATTTTATCCAAAGTTTAAAATTCGTACCACAAGTTATAGGTTTGTAGTAACAGAAGTAAATGACGGTGTTATTTGTTCCACGTTTAACCTCTGGTAGGGAGCCATTCTGGTACAGTGTAGTGTTAACATTCTCGTCATCAAACAGAAAATACTCGAGACTGTGTCGCATACCTACAAGTTTAAATGATTCCACTCTTTACTCCAGTTAGATTTATCAAAAATCAAGACAAAATAAATTCATTGCAATCAAAGAAAATCCTATCAAATATAAACGTATGTGCATCAAATTTATATTACTGCAAGATATTAAACTAGAATGTCAATACTTGGAAATAATTTCTTCTTGCGTATCACAATTTATTTATCATATCACAATGATGGGAGTAGATTGTACAGATAAAAATATTGTAACCTCTAACTGATTGACAATCCGTGCTTCCGTTGGCCATAAATAAGACGAACGGTTCATTTTTAGGTAAGATAATGGGTGTTTCTATGTCTCCATCAAATCGACAACAAAAGAAAAACCCCGTATCTTCATCATAATTTCCATCAGGAACAGAACCATTCACGGTTTGCATGAACTCCAAACCGTTAAGATCATCCATTCCAACAAAACCCTCTTGAAATCCTAAAGGTTAGAAAAGGAAATTATTAACAAGTATTTGAAAAAACTAAAAATGTTTTCATAATGCTATATTTTAACTACCCTAAGGTCTAACATAGAATAAAAACATTGTTGAAAGTCCATACCATTTGGACACTGGCCCGACTTCCGGAATATGCAATATTTCCCAGCATCCCAGTAGGTTTGATAACGAGGCAGCTGGAACGGATCGACTTCCTCATCATGAATGCAGAAGTAGTGCTCAAAAGAGATCCTGGAGTAGTTACCATAGAGATGGAAGGAGAAGGAAGGCGCGGATTTACCGTTACTGTAGTGAAGTCGACTACCATTGCTCCAGGATACACGGATGTCGCTAGGACACCCATCCTCCGGCATCAACAACCCGTACGATCCCTTTGGCCAATACATCACCTCTATCAAATATTACTTGCTTTAATTTTTCAGTTTGTATTTTTATATTAAGATATTTTAAATAAAAGGAAGTATCATAATGGTTGTTTTAAAACTGTTCTTGGTACCAGATATCAGCTGTATTAAAAATGGTATAAGGCAGATGAAAGAAAACGACGAACGAGTAAACTTAAAACAGTTCTCAAAGATAAGAACAATCTTAATATACTAAATTAAAGTTTGATTTTGTTTCCTTTGTTTTAAGTAGATGTAGACACTGGATATACATTTATCATCTCGTTAAAATTAAAGTGTTTTTATAAATATATATTTATTTTGTTTTATTTTTGTTTTGTTATTTCTCGATACAATATTAAAACACATCACATCAAGAACTGTTTTAATACATGTATATATGGATATTAAACGAAATTTCATAGAAAACTGCAGATAAACTTCCATCTGCTTACCATTGGATAATTTCTGATACGTCACGCTATCCGAGACCTGGGCGCATTGGTAAACGGAACAGCCGTCATGCCAGAAAGAGTTAAGTGACCTACATTCTCCCTCAAACGTGCATCCTGTTAAAAAACGTTCACTCACTCTAAAAAACCCTCATCTTTTGCAATTTTTCAAAACGTCAAAATCTAGAGTGCATGACTAGAGGTCAATTTCCCTAATTACAAATTTTAAGAGCCATTCTCTGTAATGATTTAAAATTTTATATAGGAGTTGTAAGTGACTCAGAACAAACTCTCTATGATAAAAGTCATTGATACCCTAAACTGAAATCAGGCAAAAATTAGTTGCTATGTTTTATAGTTACCATGGCAACATGTCTGAAAGTTTAAAAAATGACATTTTTAACCATGTTTAGAGCCCCATAATTAACATTTGCGGCAAAGCAAACAATTGGCAATGACTGTTCCAAAAAAACAGATGTCTCACATGCATAATAAACATGTTTGGTAAATCAACTATTAAATACGTTACTATGGTAACAAAGTATTCAAAAGTAAAAAAAAAATATTCATTGAATTTAATAAAGTCATACACGTAAAAATAAAAAGCAATTATAGGATGAAATGTGACCAAATAATAGAAAAAAGAGCCTTGAAACATATACCAAGAACAAAATATGATATTTCATTTTGGTTGGCAGTGGTTGCCAAGGTTTTTATACCACAGAGAGCCTTCAAAGTAACACTCTGTATGTTTAAATCTGATCCTATCTTTTAAAAAAAGCACATTTCCTCATAACTAATGATCAATTTTTAAAGATATCGGTGTGCTCCTAGTTTTTCCATTTGAAAAAATTCAGATTAGATTCTTTAAATAGAGCGTTGCTATGGATAAAAACAGAAAATATATGTTTAAAAACCTGAAAAAAATTACAAAACTTTTATGAATATTTTAACAGCTAACCTGACTTTTAATTTTGACTATCATCCAATCTCTAAGTGGATGCAAGAAGTTGACACACAGGGTTTAATATTGATATAAAGTTCACAATATCGAACATTTTCCCTTCGTGGTAACCATAGCAACAGTGTTGTTTTCTTCATCAAATTTTATCAATATATGATATTCAACTTCAGATCTAACAGATAAGTACTATTCAAGCTGAGTCCTTTAATTTGTTTCTTGATTATATGGCAATTTAATTCTTAATGCATTGAAAAATAATTCACTTTTAAGCACTGGTACTTTGTTTCCATGGTAACACTGCAAAGTAGCAATTTTACCCAATTTTTCTTATGGTTTTAGTGTTGCAAGGTCCTAAGGATGCATATTTGCCAGTCTTGAATTTTCATGTTTTTCCTCAAGACAGTAGCATTAACCCAATCTTAGTTACTGGTTTTGCATGGTTACACTGTGTTACCATGGCAACCATAAAAGTTATTCATAGAATAATATTGCTTATACTTATATACTTAAGGTCAAACATTTTAATTGTTTTTCTTAAGTCGTTGATTGAGTTTGAGCATGTATCACCTACCATTAGTGAATACGGAGTGTTTTTCAGCATATTTCAGCATTTTAAATGTATTCCAAATGTACCCTTGGTTACCACTTACTTAGAGATATATTCTAAACAGTTTCTTTACAGTATAAGTGACATCAAAGTGTCATGTTTTTGTTAGAATGGTTTGTTTGCTTTTTCTAGTTTTTATTAAGCCACAGTCAAAATTTAAAATGGCTGAAAATCTCGATTTTTCAAACTTTTCCCGCTGTTGCCATAGCAACCGAGACACTTAGCAACGAAATTTTGTTTGATATTTGTTTCTGGTGTCAAGTACTAAGCATGAGTGAAGTTTCATCAAAATCGGTGACCATGCGTGGCAATTAAGTTTAAGTGGTTACAGAGAATGTCTATTAATTTAACAAATGCTTACTTAGTATGTACGATTGAGCATTAATTCATGAAGATCCAAATACTTCACAACATTTTTAGAATACTAACCCTTTGCTATCGTAACTAAATGGAAGCATGAACCATTCACTATTTGGCACTCAACTGTATCACAATTTTGGGAAAATCTTTCCCCAATGGCTCGGCAGTTACCATTTGAATCTAAACACCCTGAAAATTTAATTATGAGAAAATTTAATTTAAACTAATTAATCAATTATTACTGTGGTCATTATAAGCATAAAAAATGCATGATATAGCGCAGAATAATTTTACATGTTGAAAATAGTTTTGTTCACAAATGTGAAAACTTTATATGCATTAACCAATAAAGTTGATTATAAGTATATAAAATAACTTTTTGAAGCTGTTATATTGATCAATGTACTTAAATATTCACTTTAACCTTACCTCCCTCCACCAAAGAATAGTGAGAAATTTCATCCGTGGTGTTACATCTATAGGTAAAGCAGCGCTCTGTCCACGTAGTTCCTGAATTCTTGCATGTCCCTTTGAAATCACAACCTGATGAATAGACAACGTTAATCAATTAACGTGCAAGTTTTATGCTTTTACATTGAGTCATCTAACTGTAGATTTCATAAAGAAGTTAAAAATTATTACTGTGTTTGTTTCATTATTAAAATGATTAAACAAGATTGTTTGCTAAATGCATAACAAAACATAGACACATGTATATAAATATATTGTTTTTGAAATAGATATACTTAGTGCTTTAGATATAGCATAATATAATTTAATCCAATCAGATTATCATTTAATCAAGAAAAAAAGATTTTAACTGTGTGCAGAGAACACATTTTTTCTTCTAATTCAGGCAAGCAAAAGCCTATATTCTTGATAAATACATGTATCATAAGATATGAATTCAGGAAGTATAGAAAACAATTTAGAACAATATTGACATTTCATTATGTCTTATATGCAACCCCTATAAAAAAAAACAAACTGGAAAGCACCTTCCCAACCCATCCTATTCGAGTTGCCCTTTCATAATGTGTTCAATGACACATGTTTACAATATCTATCGAATAATTTACAGACTAGTGTTTGTGAAATTATGAATATCTAGTACAAAATTTGGATGACTGAAGACCAGAAATCAAAAGATATGAAGAGGAGAACCTTCTTTGACAGGCCGATAGAAACCATTGACACATTCATAGGTTGTACACGGTTGTCCACGCTTTGACCACTGCTCTCCATGATCATAGTTAATACCATCCATCAAGCAGGGACAGACAGGCTTACAGTTTCCTACATAAGTACATGGAGATTCATGTTAAAGTACATCTGTCTGTGAATAATATAATAATTCGAATATAACACAACCAGAGTGTGTTAGTTTTTCTTGTTATCAGGCATTTAAAAAGGAAACATGTATCTAGCAAACGTAATCGAGCTCAAAAGCCGATTCATAAAATAAATATCGAAAGCAAATCAAAGACATATCTCGAAAACACCAGAGGTGGGATCATGTGCCAGGAAGGAGTAAGCATATCCTCTTGATCGGTCACACACACCGTGTTTTCCTCGTCATAATCGGGAAAACAGAAAAATTAGTAGACAACTCAGCGTGTTAATACAATTTGTAATTAACTCACAGTCTGTAAATGATCTGACAATTAGTACAAAAAACTTCATTAGACTTTATGATAGACTGTTTTTGCTGACAAGGTAATTTTAACGGCCATCAATTAAACTTACAAATTAATGGTCATTTAAACTGTTGATATTCCTGTTTCTTCAACTTGTCCATCAATAGCCCTGATTCCTTTTAGAAATTATTCGTAAGTAGCCCATGTTCTTGCGTTAGGAGACTTAAACCCCATATGCAGGTAATTAGAATATATTGCCACAAATAAGTAAGTTACGATAGAAAAAGTTATTTCAGGTCATTACATTTATCAAAATATATATGCGTAGGCATATATATTTATGAAGATGTAGTGTTTTAAATGTAAAATCAATCCTGTTTTACATGTCAAATATATACATGTACATAAGAAAAGATACTTCTTCAAAGGGAGAAATTAAAAAATATATATATTTTCTTTTGATAATTGATAGAGTTTTATTGTTGTTTATTATACCTAGTCCATCGTAAATGTTGAGAGGATTACTTCCAAGCGACTGGTCCCAGCTGACTAATACCAGCAGCCACAGAAGTAGATTCATATTACCCTGCCTTTGTCACCACTGCATTTCTCTTTTCTGAGACAAGGGTAAAATAATCAATTACATATCTATATCTAAGATTAACATGAGACCTTTACATAAATTTTAAAATTGATTTATTTAATATGGTGAATATTAAATTAATTAAAGTTTTTGAAAGATTATCAATCATCGTTAGACAATGTTCTTTTTTTTTCTTTTCTTTCAAAATTTGGCTCTTTTTTCTTCAACATATAAAAGATAATTAAGTTCTCTATGTATTCATATGCTATAAAACAATAATCACCTACAAAAACAATTACTAACCTTAAAACCGTAATAATCAAAGGCTGGTGGTTTTAAGTGCAGCCTTTAAACGACACCTAAAATTAATAAAAATTCTGCACTCCTATTTTTATGACATCTTTTTATCATATTTCATCGATTGATAACTTAACATTTCTTTACGCGTCTGACTCCCAGCTGTTACCCCCCTTAAGTGGTCGCTCTTTAGGGTCTTGGTCAATACTAAACACAGTCTACTATAAGATTCCCCACCACGTCTGTAATCAATTAACCAGGTATTATCCTTCATATTTACACATGTCTAAATTATAATTGATGAAGGGATACCTTGTGACGTTCTCATTAATTTAAGTTTTTCTCCTGTGAAGTATGTCTTAACCCTTTCTTCAAAAGTATGAAACTATTATGTGATGTAAAATAAAACTTTTATATTGATTATATCTATTATCAATTATTATACATAATCTAGTATATAAGATACTGAAATACTGAAAATTATAGAAAAAATGGAAACTTAGTAAACGTCATTTTCATTTTGTTGATATTTGATTGTAAATGAAGTATTTCATCTTGCATTTTAAACCATTTTTAGTTTTTTTTAAAAAAATATCATATGCTATTTCAATGCAAGTTATTGGAATTCATTTTAGGATTTTACATTTTACACCCGAGAATCCGAATTATTCGGTCATTTGTGTTTCAGGTGGTATTTGTTGGGAGGGGGGCTCCCAATCAAAATATGGGGATAACGAAAGTATTCAAGACCAAAAGTCCACAAAACAATACAAAATATAAGCAGAGCAAACGCACCTCCAGAACATCAGAGGTGGGATCAGATGCCATGGAGGAGTGAGCATCCACTGCTGACCGGTCACACCCGCCGTGTGCTTCTTGTAAAAATGTGCTCCTTGTAAAAGTAATTCGGCTGTAAGTGGTGGCTTCTGTAATCCCACAAGATGTACCTGTCTGTTACAATGAAGCGCATTGAAGTGGTAAAATTTTCTGTTTGACTGGAACGTTTTGGGCTATCTTTAGAACGATGATTGTCATACAATGACACGCCAATTTCTTTAGAAAGGAAAACTCAGTCAGATTGTTCATTCGAATACCTGTGGAACAGGTATTCTATAAATATAATAGCCAATCAAATTGGCGGGCTACATATAAACATATGAACAACGAGTAAGCACGTGTTCGACCGATACCTGTGTTATGGTAACTCCAATGAAGATGATAAATTCATAATTATGGACAAATTCGTTGCAACATTTGTTTTACAGGAGCAGGAACTCTCAAACTTTCTCTCTTATAATATAAAAATCTCCATTTCGGTGTAACTCATGTTGCTTTTCACGAAGAGTGGGGTGTCCTTAAACATTACGACGAATATTTCTTTTCCGTTTCTATAGAAATGGGCGTGTCTTAATGTTATAATTGACGTTCAAAACATGACTCAGAACGTTTCATTCAAACGGAAAATTTTACCACTTCAATGTGCTTCATTGTAGGATACACGGGACCATGTTGTCAGATAGGTTAAGAAAACGAAGAGTGACTCATTTAAGGAACCCAGTGTAGAATACAAGTTGGACACAATGCGGATATTAGTAAACATCCCTGCCTATCCGGTCTTGGAAATCGAATATCTAAAACATAACCCTCCTTCGTGTTCATTTTCTTCTTCACCTTATAACTATAGTCCTGCGCGATACTTATTACTGGTGACATATACATAGGTTAAAGGACCTTAGATCACTAATATAAAAGGTCCTAAATAGGAACCAGATTCTTCAACTGGGTTCGTAATTTCTTAAATATTATGGATTCTGTTGAAGATTTCGTCAGGCGATCGGTCAGACATGAAAAAAAGACCTTAGTACATTGTCAAAATGGGTTAAATGTATCGGATATATGTTAAAAACTCACATTTAGCGATTGAGGTGCAATATGAATACCATGTTCCCTTCTGTATCCAATAATTTAGTATTTAGAGAAGAATCAGATAGATTACACGATCAGTAAGTATTGGTCCCAAAAACATTGTCTTTGTGAGGATTATTTCAATAAATGTATTTTAGAGGAATTTGGATTTAATTCTATTCATGGTAATCTAATACTCATTGCCCACTTTCTATAAAGGAGACTCTTAAAAATCATAAGTCTGTGTTGTATGTTTTTAATATTCTCAACAACCAAAATGAATTTGAATTACCATATCTATATTGGATTCCAAATCTTAATCAAAACCCTTGCAAACAAAGATACATAGGTTCCAGTAAATGCTCTACAAAATCTCTTTCTTTACTCCTCACTAAGATATCAACAGTAGTGAAGAAGAAACTTCAAGAGTACTGTGAAAACAATACTGTATATTCGAGAAGTGTTGTAAATCAGATGTGGATTCTAAGAAATTCCAAGGAACTTTGGGACATTTGAAATAGCAAAATTTTACTAAAATCAGCAATATAAAAGCATACGAATTTTCAACGTCATGTACAACTACACGATAAATTAAAGCCCAGGATTTCTGATTTCTGACATCATTGGCAGCTGCTTTTCAAAAACGAGTTAAAAATGGAGCTCAAAAATTAATTTACCTTGCCATTGGTTATTTGCAGATTTTTTTGAAAACAATCTGATTGTACACACAGGTTCTCTGAAGATGATATTAAAAAGATGTTCGAGTTTCGGATTGACAAGATCTATGTAGTTTTTGGAGACCAGGAGTTCCAACAATCTGTTGGAATTCCCATTGGTACCTATTGCGCCCCGTTATTAGCAGATCTATTTTTGTATTCATATGAAGTAGAATTTGTTTTAAATTCTTACGTTGAAAAGAAGAAAAAAAAAACACTTGCTGTGGCCTTCAACTCGGCATTTAGTTATATCAACAACGTACTGTCAATGTAACAATGGCTATTTCAATTCCTATGTCGACTCAATATACTAGTATCCCGATGAGCTTGAAATAAAAGATATCACAGAGTCGGAAACATCCTTCATGTATAGATATTTTACTAAAAAAAATACGTTAATGGTTATCTTACAACAAAGCTTTCTGATAACGTGATGACTTTAACTTTTCGATCATCAGCTTGTCTTATATATGTATATACAATTGCCACCTGCATACAGAGTTTATATCTCTCAGCTGGTTCCATACGGAAATGCATGTTTTACGCATGATTTTTTTTTCAAAACGAAGTAATTATTGAAAAAAAAACAAAGTTGATAAAGCAAAAATACCAGCCATCATTTCCTCAGGTCAATGGTTGATACAATATGACCTTGTCAGCAAATGCAATCTATCATTAAGTCAACTGCTCTCTGCCTTTTTTAATACGGATTGCTAGGTCATAATTTACACACTGAATTATCAACGTTTTTCCCATTTTTTCCGAACATAACAAGGAGCACATGGCGGATGTGACCGGTCGGCAGGGTCACTACTTTATGGCACCTGAGCCCAAAATCTGATGTTTTAGAGGTCTGTGTTTGCTCTGTCCCTATTTTGTAATATTTAAGGACTTTTGAGTTCGAATACTGTTCGCAATTTCCACATATTTCATGATATTAGTAAACATCCCTTCTCTTTCTGCTCGCTCAATGCACACACTCTATTAATCAGATAAACAGAATAACCCGTGGTAAACAATGGCTTAAATGTAATTGAAAATACCGGTGTATGCTATTTTTTCAAAAGAAACACAAGAAAAATCATTCTATTGTCAAAAGAATTGACGAAATGTTGTTTTAAACAAGATCATTGAAAGTCCTACAACATCCCTTTTCTTACCTC